AATAGAAGGCTTTATTTAACTAGCTTCCTATTATCAAATGAGATCTTAAAGAGTTGATTGCAGGCTTCTACAGTAAGCCCCAGGTAAGCATGGCCATTGAAAATCGTCTTTTACCATTATCCATGCAACAATAATATACTACTGTAATCAGTATGTTTATCACAATTAACATGAAGCGCATGCATTGGGTTTTGCTAAACGTTTCGTGTAAATTAAGGACATGCCAACTCATAATCTCTTTCATTTATTTTAAGTAGATGTTTACCAACTACGGTCACGCTTTGAAAACCTTCATCGAAAAAGGAATAGAGGCTTCCCAATTCTTTGCGAACTTAAATATTTGTTGATGTATAAACAGTAAACAATAATTTTTGATAAATAAATTTCATCTGTATGAAATTGCCAAACAATAAGACAAGAAAAAATCATCGACAGTATTTTGCAACCAGTTTAAAACGATTCACTGATTACACTAAGAATACAAGTAGACTTTTTCGTCTAGTTTTGATCAGAATTTAGAGGTTTCCTTTAATGAGAGGAACAACTGCCTTGCTGACATCATAATGCAAGGATACTCACAACATCCATAGAAACTCGTCAATATACATAACAACTAAACCTTTGCTCAAAACCTCCCTCAGCGATTCAACATCATTTCACTATATTTAGAAGACAGGAAGTACGTTGCATCAAGATAATGGATTCGCCCAAAATTTTCTCTAAAAGTCATTTTTCCGAAGCACAAATTGTCTTGATCAAAGCCTTGTGGATCACGTGATTTGCATAATATTCAAACATGCTCTAAGACGTAGACAACCAAGTTTACAAACAATCTTTTCTTGAAGCACTAGGTATGAATTTTAATCGGAAAGAGACAGGTACTTGATTGCTCTATTTATATTTAGTTAGAACTCACTGCCAACTCTGTTCTTTTCACAATTTCTCCGTTCGCAGCAGAAGTTTATGTCTTGTTCGCTTGATGAAAATGAAGATTTAAGGAAGTAAGAAGAAACATGTGTTGTTGATTATAAAGTCTGTTTCTGTTTAGTCAAGAAAAGTTTTTATTTATTTGCATTGTGCTTTGAAAAACGTCGGTATGAGGAAGGATATAGGTTGTAGCTTTACATGTTGACGGCACTTTCACAAGAAGTAAGTTACCGTATAATCTAAAGGAAGCCGAGAAGTTTCAACGAGGCAGGTTTAACTGATCCTCTTTATCTTGACTAAGTATATCTGTGTGATTATTAGCGTCTTGTATATCTGGACATATTCCAATATAAGGTTATTCTAATAGCAAGGCAAAGAGCAAAACATTAGAGAGCTAATTCTTAGAAAAAGTGTTTTTGTGTCTTTAAATAGCTATTAGATAAGATGAAGAGATGACTTGAACAATTTTGCTGGTTTGATATAAGGCAGGGCGAGGAAGCCCAAATGGTAGTAGTTGGAGGACATCGACAAGCAGTGGCTGATGATAATTAGGCTAACAGCAGTAAAGGCACTCTACGCTTGAGGAAGTTTTTTGGGTAAATACAACACATCCTAAACGAACTATAACTGCAAAGGATTCTTATTTCATAAATTATATTGTTAGATTTTAAATATTGAGATTCGAACTTTTTATATATTTGAGATATTCAATTTAAGTTTCAAAATGATAGCTCACTTTCTCTTCGTTAATGTTTAGAATGTATTATTTAATCGGTAAAAGTTATATCAAATACCTTTAAGATGTGAATACCATAGAAGCATCGCGTTTCCGATTTCCGCTGGTTCTTTCTGTTGCTGGCCTTTGTGATCGATCCATTTGTGAATCTACTGTCAGTTTTATTCAATACTGCATGAATAACTAAAACACATGGTAATGAGTGAAAGGCTGATATACGCTAAGAAAAATTGGCTTTGTCAAGACCAGGTTTACGATTACATTGATGAATTATGGATGAGGTATTCAAGTGATGAGCATGACCACATAGCTTAGTGCTTTGCATCTAAAACTGTGGTGTTTTAGGGTAATGTTAAAGAGATTGATGATTAAGCCAAAGGTTTAATAGTGTGTATACTAACTGAAAGAGTAATCAAGGCAACACTTCAAGGAGAGATACAAGACTTCTGTTGGCTTAAACTACAGTTTGATAGCCCTAATAATATCACTTTATAAATATGGGAGTATGTTTTTAATATTTATCCACAATCATTATAAACTTTTATTTGAAGACAAGGTGCTCGATAGACAACAGTGAGAAGTTAGAGCTCTCGGTTGCTTGTGAAAACTTAGATTGAAAACATCGTCTAATAAGCACCTTCTTTTGGCTGGGAATTACTAAGAAAAGGTCATATTCAGCAACACTAGGCCTGTAAACATACTGCTTCAACCATACCGGCACTTTCCATACATACATTGCAATAAAAGGGCTCATCTTTATTGTCAGATTTGTCGGTAATCGCAAGAAAGGAGGGAGGAGCTCATAATTTATTTTGTGCATATGTTGCTACCTAGCATTCGTGGGTAGTTTCTAGGACGAAGGGAAGCTATGCTTAATGATAATGATAATAATAATAATGTTTGCACAGGGTAACCTCTTCATTATACCAAGTGCTGTTAACAACGAGGGTCCTGTATTAAGCAGTGTCCTGGTTCTTCTGCTCGATTGGACCAGACCTCCTGATTCCTACGCCTGGAGTAACAGAGAGCTGGCGAATCTACCAAGTTTAAGTAAACGTCTGGTCATGCCAGGGTTTCGAGCCAAAGACCCTTTGATATGTGGTCTGTGACCTTATCCACTGAGCAATTCCCACGTTATCACCCACCCGCATTATTGCTAAACCCTGCAAGCCATGCTAAACACTGCAATGTCATTGTACTCACCGTTGCATCAAGAAGCTTGGACAGCTTTCATGCACAGACATTTCCCAATTCTGGATTAATTTTGGATGATTCATCACATTTGGAGCAGCATAGAGAACACTTATGTTTTGTTCTTAATGCTTCACACTTCATTCGATTTGAGATAGAGCATTCAACGAGAAGCAAATCTGATTTGTCATCTCTTTGATGGTGACAAATGAAAACGCATTGGCAAGTGTGCATATAATATATTTGATACAATCCAAATTGTCAGGTTTGAATACATTTGTTTCAGAATTATTTGAACAAAGCAAAAAGCATGCTAAGATTTGCAAACAATTTATTAAAAAGGTGATTATGAAAACAGAAAGAAAAGAGAATGAAAGACTTAGAGCCTATTTATGGAAATGTGTGACAACTCGCTTACTGCAGAGAACTCCAGGGGAAGTAGTTGTCGTTTCTGTATTTCATACAAAGAATGATTTTTACTCTTATATATGGAAGTAAAAAGCTAATGCATATTACTGTTATCACTGTTGGTACAATATCAATATGCAAACAGGCCTCATCTTGTAGCTAACTTGACAGCAAACTTAAACTGGGTTGCCATTTGGCCTCGTGCGAGGCCAAATTCCAGCAATCTGGTCTAATTCCAGCAACCCATTTGGCTACAAAAAATATTATTTGGCCTTAACAGTTAAAATTGTAAGTCTATTCATAAAGAAGTTGATTATCTACAATTCATATAGAAACAGTAATCAGTTCATTTTCCCCTTCAACTTTTATGAATTCGTGGTTATTCCATTGTTGTGATCTCCATTGTTATGGACAATACATTTCATGTTTTAAAAATGCCTATTATTGGTTTTTTAGAATATGTCTACAAAAGACTTCGATCTAGCCTCGTATTGATCTAGAGATTTAGCCTCTTGGTATCTTCAGTATGGCCTCCGCTGACAAGTGGGGTGTAGCAGCCCTGAACTTAAATGAAAACTGAGAAACAGTCAACATGCACATCGAAATTGCTTGCAAAATTGTTATCAGTTAATAAAAATGTAATGTTTACTTTGAAAGATTATTGCTTGGTTTTAACGTAACCTCAGCTTGTGCATATGCATACAGGCAGCATTTGCTAAGCTCGATGGGTAAATAATAGTGAAGCTGTGTCACAGGGACGCAAGAAAGACCAAACCACATTCCAACATTCAGCTCATATCATATATTGTCAAAGATATCTTAGATTTCAAAGATTAAACATCTAGATAACATCTTGATATGAAAAATTTTGCTGAAACTACCTTTAATCGGGGTTATCTATTTTTTGAGTGAGGTTTTTAGATTTGAAAACATCTATTTATTGCAACAGTTTATGGGCTAGCAAATTTAGATGGATTTACTTTAAGTTTTTAATAAGATGAAGCAAACATAGAGAGACGAAATGACCTGCCCGGTACTAATTACGGTCTCTAATACAAACTAATACGAGATGCTAGCTAAAAAACAAGCTTAGAACGGAACACTGGAAACCATTTTACAATTTAAGCGAATTGAGCTAATGATCTTAGAAGAGGTGTTCAATGACGGTCTGCGATCAAAGCCAGCTGAGGAGAGTTTTTGAAAGAAATAATAGACTTGTCATGAGAAAAGAGGTAATGCAGAATCCTACCGCCAAAACCATACTGGAATTTCATTATACGCAATTTCTTACCAAACATTCATTAAATACCTGATTTTAATTATCTAGGGTCTAAAGCACTTGATTTATTTTATTATAATTTGAAAGTTGTCTGATTTTAACGTGAAATTAAGGTTTATATTATAGAAATGCTATTAAAATTAATCATACTGTTAAGCGGACAGATGTTCTCACAGCAAAATTTTTAATTTAATAAAGTGGAAGTTTGGCGTGATTGGTTATGATTGTGACGTAATGGTGACGTTAAAGCAAATAGCTAATACACGAAAGTTTGCAACTGCGATCTAACTAAAAAGCAATCAATTTAAAAAGCAGCCCTTAGGCACTCGATCACTTTTGAGTACCGGGATGTGTTCCACGATAAAATGTTGTCACACTATATAAATGAAAGTGTACCTATCATTAGCCATTTTTACTATGTTGTTAACAAGCCAGAGAAAATATGTTTGATCTACATACCCTTTACTGAACTTTTACGACGTTCGTATGAATTATTGCTGAGAGTTTTACGTACAAAATCGATGTTATATTATGGCACGTCCCTGTTGAGAAATGTTTCAGATTAAAAGACCGTTTGCAAATTCACGTACAAAGGCAGGCAGATGCTAAAACATATGGCTGGCCAAGCAAGATTCAACACAAAATTTGCAAAAAACAACTGGGCGTAAACCAGCTTTCCTTTGCTCCTAACTATACGAGCAAAGAAAAGTTGGTTTACACTACCGTTGAAACTCTACCGTTATTATGCCACTAAGGACAAGCAAAAAAACAGAAAACTAACGTTTGACGCCGATGCTACTTTATTTGCCCAATTTCATGATCAAAATGAATGTCTGATAGAATAAAAGAATACCTGACAGTTTTTAATAAGGCAAGTATTACACGCAAGTTTAGATATTAGATTCTGATACATCTGATCAAAAGTTATATTTCTTAGAGTTTTTTCTGGCTTATACAAGATAATTTCCCTGAGATAGTCGACTTGAGGAAAATTCTTAAGAGATCAATATATCGTTACATGGATGGTGAACCTGGAAGCAAAATGTCACAGATGGTGCAGTCTTGCAGGAAAATAAGCAGAGTTTCTCAATCATCAAAGTTGCTATCTCCTTCAGAGAGAAAATAGAGAAGTTCGCCCTTACATCTAGAGGTAACGAGGATCTGTATCAGCCGGTACTTGATTTATGTAGATCAAGTAGATGATCTAAAAGTGTATTGAAATAGAGTAACGAAACATGATGATGCATACAAAAGACTAGTCCTGGATCAGCCAAAATCTAACAGGATGATCGAATAATACACTTGCTTAAGAATATAAAGTAGAAATCAAATCATCAAATTATGTTCATTCAATAGGCTAACTTTAGACCCTGGAAAAATGAAGCCATAAAACTATCTCCCCTAACGATTTCAGATTTGGTTTGTTTGATATGAGCATCAAGGGCAAGCAATGCTTTTCAAAACAAATTTTTTCTATTACTATGACAAATTACTAGGTGTCAGTGGCAGCTTTATTACTTGACTAGGACTGCGAAAATTTTGCAAAATATAGTAGCGAAATGAAGTTCTGTTCTAGCTTGACTAAATGAGGCCTAAAATATAAGTTAAGCAGGGATTAAACGGGGTACATCCGGTAGAAACTCGCGCTGACAACTGTCACGCTACCTTGTAATTATGCACTTTATTTCTGCACTTATCATTGCAAATTGCATGTTTGCCATCAAAACAAGTCCTGTTGATGGCCAGACTTAAACAACGGATGTCGATTTCAAATGAAACTGCAACCTAAAGATCACTCCAAAAGCAAATAGTTTCCTACAGAGAAAGCATATTTGCTATTAGAGAGTTCTTCTAGGTAATTTGTTTTCAAAACAGGGAAGAAAATGAAGCTTTTCATTAAAAAGTTATTGGGGATATCGTAAATTACTAAATGCTTGCATTTTATATGAAAATCTACGTTTATAAGGCAATTGTTATGTACTGTAATTAGTTTTCAGAAGATAGTGTAAACATGGGTCTTTCATATGCTAAAATGTTTAAACTGATTACAAACATCGACCCGAGAATAATGAAATATGTTCGTCGTAATACAGATTTGCATGTGGTATAGAAGTTCCTCTATGCGAGCAAAGGTTCACGAGGAGAATAATGGTATCTTGTAAACTTAACAACATGCCAGTAAGAAACGCGTCATCGTACGTGGCAAGCAGTTATGCTTGTGCTGCTTCAAATATTTCACTGGTAATTCCTACCATTTTGATGAACCTTTCTGTTATTATGGCAGTTGTCAAGCTACACGGAGAGATGGAGCCATACGAGATTTTGATCGCAAATTTAGCATTAACCGATCTCCTTGCAGGGCTGTTTTCAATGCCAAGTCTATTCGTCGAGTCTCTCTATGTTGCGAATTTGAAAGATCCTTGCGATTTCGCCAAATTAACCGTAACTGCTTCTATTGCTCTCGGGCAAGTATCATTCTTTCTTATAACCGCAATAGCAATAGAGAGACACATCAAAGTATTTAGTCCGTTTTTTTACAATTCCAAGATCACGTCTCGTCTGCTGGCTAAGTTAGTGATTTGTATGTGGTTTGCTTCTATAGCTATTGTAACTACAAACTTTGTCGCTGACAATGTGTATGTGGCATTTGGAACAGGTTTTGTGACTTGCATTTTTGGCTCAGTTGTCATATCATTTTGCTATTCTAAAATCCTTCTACGTGCACGGCGCATCCGCCGACAAACTGAAGCAGAAGGAATACGATTTGGTCAAGGGAGGATGACAGAAAAGTACAGGAATCTTCTCTTCATTGGCGGGTTAATATTCATTTCTTTCTTTCTATGTTATTCACCATATGTCGTAAGAAGCCTCTGGAACCTCTTTGAAGTTAAAAACCAATATATGGACTACAGTATATGCTGGGTGTGGTTCTGTATGCTGTTAAACGCATTGGTTAATCCTATAATATCATGCGTTTTTAATCCAAATGTGAAACAAAAGACTACTAAATTATGGACTTGTGTGTTTAGAGGGAGGAATTAGTGGAGGAAAACTGATGCATTTTCCAAACAATTTTGTTTGTTTATTGGCATAAATGATGCTTTGATAATTGGGCTTCTTCAAACATAAAACAGTCAGGAATAGTTTAAAATCTACTAATTGGATACAAACCGTTGGTAACCTGCCTCCTCCTGATTGGTCAATACGTCTTCGGCTATCTGTAACATCAGCTTGTATCAATGACATCTGCTGAAACTCGCCTCACCTGAAATTGAAATGGCAGAGATTTTGTCGTGGTGATTAAAGCGCCCAAAGAGGAAACGAAAGGAGAAAGAATAAAACCAGGCTTAAAATTACGGCACGCTTACAAAAACAAATTTTACCAAGACTTCTACCTAACATTATTGAAGGTTACCTCCTTGGACCCAAATCACTAGGAACTGGAAGGGAAAGAAAAATGTGGTCCGAAATGATTGGCAACCTACTACACATGTAGAAGCATGTGTAGAAGCAACTTGGAAGGAATGAACGTACTGTTGGTCAGGAAACGAGCTACTCGTTTGCTAGGACATTTTGCAACGTCGTTCAGGACATTTTTGAACGTTGTATCTAAGGAACAAGCCATCCACCAATCCAGGCTTCATGAAATTTGATTTAAAATTACTGTTTAAGGTAGTAAATTAACAGCTTAGCCTGTTGAACGCTACTTAATAACAATGAGGTGCATAATTGTAAGCATAACTGGTAATATGAAAAGGTGAGGTGTATAATTGTAAGCATAACTGGTAATATAAAAAGGTGAGGTGCATAATTGTAAGCATAACTTGTAATATAAAAAGGTGAGGTGTATAATTGTAAGCATAACTTGTAATATAAAAAGGTGAGGTGTATAATTGTAAGCATAACTTGTAATATGAAAAGGTAAGGTGCATAATTGTAAGCATAACTTGTAATATAAAAAGGTGAGGTGTATAATTGTAAGCATAACCTGTAGTATGAAATGATGCAAAGAATCAAGAAATTGTTAATATGAGGATACCACGAGACAGGGAGGTATATTTTCGTAGACCTCATGCGATGGCAGGTTTCTGAATAAAAATTAGCGCAAAAATAGTTTCTAGTTAGTGATTTTGAAATCCAAATAATCAAATATGCAATGAAATGTCCAGATAGACACAATTTAGAAGAGGGGCTGAGATTTGATCACTTTTTCAGAGAAAGATAAACCATGGTATTCCTGGCCTGGGTTATTGGCGAGTTGTCACAATTTACTACGGGCCGTGTTGATATGGCACTCAATTCACCCTGAACATCAACGGCATTGACGATAGAATCAGTCATAGGCATGACGCTCGATTTTCGGCTGTGAAATGCACCAAAAGCAATCAAAATCTTTCATTGAACCTAATAATACAAAGTTGACAAATATTTTCTTTAGTTTCTCTAGCTGAGAAAGAAAATGAAGACCTTCTATTAAAAATAATGTTCTGAAGTTAAGTATTAATTAAGAAAGTGCCTTTTGCAAATTGACTGATTGAAATGTTCTTTTATGTTATCAAACAATTGTAGGTTGTGTAAGGCGGGGTCTTTCATATTTCAAAGCGTTTGAATTTGATGCCATCCTTAGAGTAAGCAGACCGACCAAAAAAGTACTAATGCAATATTCATACGCAATTAGCTTTCATAAAAAAACCTTTGCCGTCAAACCAGTGCAATATTTCGACCAACAATGTCCAACAACGTTGGACATAAACTGTTGCCTTTTGGCCACCCATATTGGACTCTGTTGATATTGGATGATGCTGGACAATGCTGGGCGATGTTTGACTTTGATATAAAATGATGGATGTTGTTAGATGATGCAGGAACTATTTGATCACCCTGTCTTAGAAAATGACTTTCGCACAAGAGCAGTTGCAAGAAGGCATTGATTTGTTTGGTAAAAGGAAGCTGCACCTAAAGAAGCAAAAATCGAGAGGAAATTGAATGTTATGTTCTCAATTTACTGTGATCTTCCCAATTAGCCCTCCTTCATCCCCTTATATTTATCTGTTATCTAATCCGAAATTTGGAACAGATTCAGAAGAACCATGGAAAGATTCAGAAGAATAAATTTTCACTTCCTTTTCCATCTGTAAACCTTATTCACAGTACAGAAAACTTTCTTAACAACCTGGTCAAACGTTCTTTACATAGTTTACTTTTGTAAACACTTCAAATTTGGTTGAAATTATGGTAAACCTAATAAAACAACAGCCAAATCCCAATTTTGCTAGCTCCTAGAAACTGTGCTTCTACCATTGTAACACAGCGTGTCATTTTGATGTGTTTAGTACAAACTACTAAGTACATTTAGTACATTTTGTTTAGAACACTTTGATTTGATCTCGAATCTGTTTAGTACAAACTACTTTAATTACAAGCTAATTTCATTATAATAGAGTTTTGCCTTGAGCGTATAGGAAAGAAACACACTGCTCAACGCCAACTTCATTATGATTTTGTAGGAAATTTTTATCAATCAGTTTTCTCACAAAAAAGGTTGAAATAGTTAACTTCAAGAGTCAATAACGAACAAGGTAAACAGAATTTTGAAATTTTGTTTGTTCCATATCAACAAAGGCATTCAATATATAGAAAAAATTGGTAGCATAAGCATTTGTAAAGCTCTCCTGGGCAAACACGCAGGATGAAACTTCAAGCAAATAATATGCAAGATTAAAGAACAGAGCTATAATTCATTACGAATGCAATGAAAGATTAGTAGCAACAAAACAAGTCGCAGGACTAGAAAATTTAGATTAGCTACCTAAGCAAGGCTCCACCCTGTAAACAAGAATACATTTTCTGCAAAAACTAAAAAAGGAAAGGCATTGTTTTCAAAACAGGTTACTTCAAGGAAGATCCTTAGAGTAATGCAATATTCATAAAGTAATGCAGTATTCTTAAAGAAACTTAGTATCCTCAGGAAACGTGGTTAACTTAAAAAGCACTTTGGTTAATAGAAAAAAGTTTAGCCATCGTTATTTTGAAGGAGAAATAGTAGCACAGAAGACGTCAGAGAACTACTCTACAAAGATTTGCAAGCACTTACCGCCTAATCTTTTAGCTACATCTAAGCGCGCACGAATTTTAAAGGCATCAGTGTCTGAAGTCGTCCCCATTCACAAACACGATTATTTCGATTTTCTAAACTACACCAATCGAATGAGTATAGACGGTTTTTCTCAGATCTGGTCGAAAAGTTGAGTTGCACAACCTCAAACCTTCATCTTTTTGTTCACTGGAAAAAACTTTGCAGAACAAGTTTTGCAAAAATATGATACAACCCGAAGATATATCATATTTTGTTTTGAATACCAAGAAAATATAAGAAAAAAGTTTTCGCAAGACTCAAATACTATAATTGCGAGAAATTAAGGAAAAATTTCCTGATGCTCTCACAAATAATCTATTGCATCACTACATATTATACATTAGCTCATAATCGATAAAAATATTTTACAAACAATCTGCGACTACTTGCATCCACTGCTACCATTACCTAAGCAGTTATGCAATTATATCAACCTGACTGTAGCCATCACATCGTACTCCGAAATCAGCTGTTAGATGCCTCGTTTGGAACAACCTGTCCTTTGTTGGCTTCATATCTGTCCTCGGTCTTCATATCTTCTTCTTTTGATTGGCTATCTGACCGCAGAATGGCTTCGGGGACTTCCTGAGAGTTATCGTCGTCGTTGTCAAATCTTTTCGATCGATTCGATGATGATTTCTTTGACCCAGGCTTCTTCTGTTTTTGACTGTCACGTTTTTGTTTATTGTTTCGTTCGTGGTTAGATTTGTCTGGGAATCAGAGGAAAGGCAATGATTATCACGCATGCCTAATTAAGCAATATCTGAAGTCACATACAACTACCACCAGACAGTGTTGCATAGTATTTCTAATAAGAGGAAAAATGATGACATCATAACAATGTATGGTTAGAATTTTTGAAGACCACACAACCTGAAAGAGCGCCATACAAAACTTAGAAAGACGTGGGGGGACACTCTGCTTTTTCCGGTTTTGTGGAGCCCTTGAAGTCTACGTTATTTCTACTGAAAACATCAAAGTCCAATTAAATACAAAAAGGCTCCCCCCCCCGTTAAACCGAGTACAAACTTCAAATTATAATGATATGATAGAGAGGAATTTGTAGCTAATTGGCGGCAAAATAAAGTTTTAAAACAAGTATTTTTTGAATTTTTTTTTTCAGATTGTGTGTACCGTTGTTTGGAACTCAAAACTTCTGAAGACATATTCTCACTACATATTAAAACTAAAAATATGAAAAATAAATCAAACATTTATTGCTTGAAATTTTGTAACCGTATGCGGATTTCACACAAATTGAAAGCGGTGGATGGGATCAAATCTTTCCACGATAGAACGACAAAATCTGCAAATGGGAATTAGCTCCAAAGAAAGGGCTAGACAGAGAATCTACACATTTCCTATATTGTGTCAGCTTCCCATTAAAAAAAACTAAGTACAAAAAGTATTTGAGCTCATCAATGAAATATTAAATTTGATTGGGAAAGCTTTAAGATGCTAGATGGACACTCTTAAGTACAACACGAGATCATTCATGTGACCTTTAGCGATCGGTTGTGAAACATTCAGTATCAATCACGTGATCTTAGGAGATGCGCTGTGAATCATCCAGTATCATTTACGTGACCTTCAGAGGTGGGTTGTGAAACATCCAGTATCATTCACCTGACCTGTGCTCCTTTAGAGATCTATCCCCTATTAGAGTCTTGATACATCAATTATCGGGGAGATAGGGCTAGATAAGGAACTGTAAATTGGCTTAAAGATGACGTATCTGAATCTGGCTAATGAAGATAACTTGTAGTGTTCATAATAACCTTTTGCTGAATCATTTATCAGTGTGATTAAGTTATAAGCCTAATGTTTACTAACATGAGAAAACACGTCGACCTAGATCAGTTTCTCATGATTGTCAAAAACCAATCACCATAATAGAAATAGAAACATCAAATAGTTTCAATCATCCTTCACACAAAACATGATTAGCAGAATCCTACTTTGAGAAACTAGAAGATTAAGCTTCCGAATCCTGGGCAAAAAGTCTATATTTGGGGTTTTGGAAACACGTGTCTGGTTTATGATGAATATCGGAAAGCAATAGAAATCTTTTTGTCTTAATTCTTTGTTAGCTGATGAACACGTTTAACGTTAAGTCGATCAGCTGGTAGACATCCTTTGGTGCCATTACGGAACGTTTTGACAAAAGCATAAGAATATCAAGCACGGTCTGGTCAGTCATATCGAATCTGTGCTGGCCTGCTCGCATGGACAATAGGCCCGCAACTATTTATACATGCTTCATTCAGCTTTATTGTAAATAGCAGGTACGAAAATTAAAATACTTTCTGGAGATCACACGTAGCGTGAGATCCAGGCTTCAAGTTGCAGAGTTGCAACTTAGAACCGTCCTGTTTTATACACAAAAGCGTATACAGCTCGGCCTATACGGCGTCAAGCCCTTCATGACAGACTAACAAACATTTTCGGAAATGGTTTCGTGCATTTGAAGCGTGGGTATGCGATAAGGTTGGGAGTCAATCAATCTAAATAGACATCCTCCGTTTGTCTCTTGGCATTGGAGATAAATAAAAAAATTTAGCATGCCTCACACCTAATCCCCTTAATCATGGTAAAAAGCCAAAGCGTATCATTGAAATGAAAAAAATAGTCTAAGTTTATGTCCCAAACATTCCAAAATAAATTCTGATTGCCAATGAGTCACCCTCCGCAGACATAATCTTTTCTATGCAACTCTCTGACACGAAAATAGCAATTAAAAAACTAGGCTTTCACTTTCATTCTACTTAGAAATTTGGAGTACGAGCAGCCTGTTTATTTTTTGGTCTTCCAACTTCTGACGTTGACATAGAAAACCTAAAACTAAAACATGCGATTCTGCTATCGGGTGGCATTTACTGGAAAACCAAGACTGTGCAAAAAACTATAATGGCGACATGTCTTGGTTTATTGGTAAAGCCCGATCGTCGTCCATTCTAGCAGTTCTGGAATCTATGTACATAAGCATGAAGAAACCGCTACTGTGTAGACAAAAGGAGTTCGTTTTCACCTTAGGACTCCATTGGTAACATTTTAATAGGCAAGCGCCATTGATTGAGCAACCTCAATAGTCATGTGCTCACGTTTCTGATTGGCCTATCTCGATTCAAAACTGGGTATATATATATATATATGCTATAATTTCGTTGCAGACTTCTCGTTACAGAGTAAAAATTTTTATGACCTTATTCGTCATAATTCTTCAGTAGTTCCTAAATAGTGACGAGAGACTTCCATGTTAGGTCATTGAAGGTTGAGAGTCTCGTGAATTAATATTTGTGTGCTGATATCAATCCATTGCACCCTCATTAAAATTGAATCTGCATAAAGCGAGAATAATTAAACGGTCAAAATTTTTTTGCTATGACAAAAACGTAAGTAAAGAGTTCATACCCGAGTTTTGTTCGAAAGAATCACCATTTATACAGACGTCAACAACCTTAGGTCGTTTACTTGCTTGGCTTTCATATCCGTTTTCTTCATACATGCTGTTTTCCCTCTTTAATTCCTTGGATACTTCTTCCTGCTTCGGTGATATTGGTTTTTGTAAATTTTGCTGTTCAGCTTCGAACGCTGGAATCTCCCCCTGTAAAAAAATTGACAACTCCTGAAAAGGGTCAGTACAACCATGCTTTATTGCATTGTCCATGGAGTGAGATTATCAAGGTGTCACTATCTGTAAAAATCTGGAGCAGAAAAATTCCCTCTCTCTGCGGATAATTCTGACGTGTAATGCAAATTTAAGGACAGCATTTCTGATGGTACAGGTACTTTCTATGCAATTAAGCAGGGTAGTGAATTTCCAATATTTTGCCCTGATTCAATATCATTCTATCTGAGCTTTAAGTCATTGTTGTTTGCTAAAGTAATAATATTTGCCTGTTATAAATATTGTAAGTGCCATTTACAAAGGGAACTCAATGACTTTTTGTCGTTACTCTTTGCTGAATGCAGCAAAGATAATTTCCTCGTTGTCTAGTTGTAGGTTCATACCTTGTTATAAAGTACATTATCGAGAAGATTCAATTTCCATGTTTAACACTTTTTTATAAAAACGCTGGTATTATTGCTCCTGTTCTGACAACTTTAAGCAAATGGCCCCTATTTCTCTTGATTTGTTTAAACTTATCTGCTATTTTTATCTTTTATATAAAATTTATATTTCATACTTGAATCTTTTAAAGAGCGTTGCCCTTCACTATCAGCTGATTTTCAAGAGGCCATCCGATAAAAAACATTGACTAAAATCTGTAAAATTTAAATTAAAAAGCCATTTAGGTTGATTTAAGTTTATGGCGATGATTTTCACCTTAAAGAAAATAAACCTTCTATATTACCTAAACGAAGTAGTGCTTACCTCTGGATCGTCAATTTCTGGTGCCACTGGCAGAAAGTACAAGTTATCCGCTTCTTCATCTTCATCGCTGAAAAGTTAATTTTGTCCACATTTGGAAATGGTTTTTTGATTTAGAAACATCCACATTTTTGAAGAAAACAATTTTTGAATTTCGTTGCTTTTGAAATTTAAAAAAAATCATCAATAATCCGTTAAGCATATAGGTTCGATCATTTTTAGGCTGTTTCTCCTACTGTCACAAGGAGAAATTAACATATAATCAGGTACGTTAAGACCAAAAACCGAGAATCAAGACATTGGTAATATTATTCATTAGAATTCCTTAGAAAGGGCTGTCGATCAATTCCGATCTGAGATCAGTTTATGTAAAATCAAGAACTCCCGATTATTTATCGCTTTAAAAAACAACGAGAGAAGTACTTGAAGCGCTGACAATTTAGTCATACTAATTACGACCCTCTGGAAGAACATCATTTTAGACTGTAATTATACTTTGTTTAATTCAACTAATGGATCCATACTCATTTAAGATTGTACTAGGGTAGCTGAAAGGTTGCATTTTGTCTAAAGAAATAATATTATTTATGATAAATCTGAAAACAGAAAGCAGTTGTTTTCTTCGATGGAGACTTCAGTGACGTAAGAGGCTACAGAACGCTGACTAATCAGACACAGCGTCATTCTATAGCCGACAAGTGGCAAGCAAAAATAGTTCTGTACATGCATACAGCATGGATTTCGTTTTTCTTACCTTCTTCAACATACACGCAATCAAAAGGAGTTTTTTCGTTTTTAAGAACTGTACATGATAGTTACATTACAAGGGCATTCCACTAAAGCCACGTCATGGAACAAACCTAGGTTAGGTGTATATTTTGCGTTCAGATAAGAACTCTTTCCGTGTCACATAACCTGGCCTTTATTCCAATTTAATTTCTGCCCACATATTCTTTAATCTGATATACACTGGCAGAGATATTATCTATACAAAAAGCTAAAGCAAAACATTATTTATGAAAATTCTTTCTGTAAGAGTATCTAATTGCTGTGAACTAGAAATAGCGAACAGATTTCAACAGTGCGCACAAACTCGCAACCACAACAGTTTGGGATGCATGTGACACATTTTAATCATTGCTGACAGCTGCAGGCGACGCATGCGCAAGTGGTTGATGATTTTTGCAGCACATAATATTATGTTTGCTTCTTCATCGCGCGCAAAAATCTTGCCTTGTGAAAAAGTTGTTGTAACTCAACTATGAAAAACTCGCACAGAACAACGAAAAAAAAACTTAAATTCGAATCAGAGTTATATTTCAGAAACAAGTGCCAATTGCAGTTATTTCTAGAAGGATTTCTGGGGCAAAGTAATTCTGCCAGGTGATCGTTTTCTAGGTTCCCTTATATTAGAGATGCAATTCTAGGTGGAAAATGACGTCAAACCTGCTGCAGTAAAACGGCTTTTCAACGGTAACAACATCAACATCAACATCGTCAATGAGCTGCCTTTCTGTAATGTTCTCGATTTTGTCTTCATCTTCCTTTGAAAATCAATCAAGAAACATCATATAAACTTGATAGAAGTCCAAATACTAAGAATAAAAGCCTGCATTGCTCAAATGAAGAAGGGAACGTACTTCTCCCAGATTACAATTTTATCAACTTAATGGTAGGACAATCAAACGAATTGAAGGCTTGAAATGCGTTGCAATATTTAGTTGGTTTAAAAATAATAGTACAAGCTTAAAGTACTATATTGTAAAAAAAATACAATTATAATTTCAAATTGAGTAGAGTGTGAGGGTATTCTTCACATCAATTTTTCTTTAGTTTAATATACATTGATTTTAGCAGTTGCAAATTTCAAATGCGAAGGCTACTTGCCCTTCCATAATTCAAATCTTCCAAATAAAATGTCTGTTATGTAAACGAGTTTAAACTTAGAGCAAAGAGGCTCTTACAATATCGAATTCACTTTCTCTTTCTTCGTATTCAACGTTTTCATCAAGCTCTTTGAAATCTGGAGCAAAAGCTGACCAATTTTCCTACAAAAAAAGGAAAAATCAAGATAAAAAGACACATTAGTTCGTCAATTTTTGAGTGGCATTTTAGTATTTAAAAGAAAAAGACTAAAATCCACCATATTTTTAAGGCAAAATGAACTTATTGGTCATGCAAGCAAGATATGATTCCAACTGTGTTCTATTTAAACGAAAATGTTCTGATTTCAGTGAAGAACTAAGTTGCAAAATATGAAATCTTAATTATTTACCACATGCGTTTGAGACCAAATGGATACAAGTCCACTTGCCACTGAGCAGATTATTGGGCGTATAGGGTGCCACTGTGAAAAAGAAAGAGAGATTATGGCATCTACAGGTTAGCGAACGCAAATTTTGATAAAGGATAAAAAGGGCTGGAATATCATGAGGGAAAATGTGTCCTTGTTATAAAAAGAAGTCTTTATTTTTGGCAGCCGCGAAGGATGAAACTAACACAACTAGTCAGCAACATGTTTGTCCGTAGTATCATATGCAGAATAGCGTAACATCATGAAAGGTCACTGTCAAGAGGGAAATATGGCTCCAGAACTAACTGAAGAAATATCAGCGTGAAAACAGAGACATTAGTGTGACTGAAGAAAAATAAGCAAAAAGCGTCAAAAATAATATCTCTGGCCACAAAGCTACAAATGAAATGAATAAATTCAAGAGTGACTTCAGATGAAATCTTCAAACTGACCACGACATCCAAAAGCAGCTCTCCTTTCGTCCCGTTTAATATTTTGACCAGCGTGCCAGCGCTTCTTTCCCATATGTACAAAGAATGCTGTCTAGATGAGCCTGTATGAAAATATCTTTGGTTAATATCCCAAATTAAAAGAGAGCTGATGACATTTCTAAAGACCACGATGAAGTTTTACACTTCAAACAGCAATGCCCCAGACATAAAAGAAATCTTAAGTTTCTGAAAATTTGAATGGTAAAAAAACTAAATTTGTACGAATTTTCATAAGTTTGTGTCATGAAATTTTTTTTCAGAAATGTCGAAAGTTTGAATTATCAAAATTCCTCAGTTAGTTTAATCATGAAGGAAAATTTAATGCCCGCCTTAAAAAAAATTTGACAAACAAGACAGTCGCATTGTTCGGGTTTGAATGCATCCATCAAAATATTTATAAGATTTGAAACATCAAATTCAGTTTTTTAACTTTATTAAGAGTCACAGAAGAAGGGGTATGAACTCAAAAATCCAATGCTTGCCAGTTATTTATAAAAAACCCCAGCAGAACATTTTTATGCACTTTTACCTGCAACTATATAATCACCATCACCAGAAAAACAGCATTTCTTCCAAAGAGTTCTGGAAAAGCACAAATTGCAATGAAAGAATGGAGTTACATTTCAAATACGTAGGAGACACAATCTTGCTATGTTGGAAGTATGCTTTTGGAATAACTTTGTTTCGAAGTGCTCAGTTGTAGCACCCGTAAAGTGAGGCAGTAACGAAAACGAGGCTCGTAGAGTAAGTCTAGAACTTTATAACACAGTGACTCTAAACAGAAGGAATTTCTAGGAACTTCTAGAAGAGAAGTATTCAAAACTAATGCAATTCGTTCCTTTTACAAAATATCTAAATCTTTTCGAGAAAAAAGATTTTCTGCTCAATCGAGAAAAATGAAATCAGGAAACATTTAGTGAAAAAACATTTCTGAATTAACATAATTGACTCAATAATGGAATGAACTCGATAAATTGACTCAATAATGGAATAGGCTCGACAGGTTAACAATAACTTGGTTGTCTGACCTGTTCACCAAATCTTGTAATTTTTGAATTGGCTCTGGTTCTGTTGTCTCGTTACATTTCAAAACCATCTCTCGATCGAAAACACGTATCACACGGTCTTGCGAATTCACTAAAAACGAGCTGCAATAAACAGAAACGGCAGTAAAGATCTTGGAAAAGCAAAATCAACGAAATAACACTGAGCTAAAACATAGGCTCGAATGTACTGTACTGTACTGTACTGTACTGTACTGTACTGTACTGTACTGTACTGTACTGTACTGTACTGTACTGTACTGTACTGTACTGTACTGTACTGTACTGTATTGTACTGTACTGTACTGTACTGTACTGTACTGTACTGTACTGTACTGTACTGTACTGTACTGTACTGTACTGTACTGTACTGTACTGTACTGCACTGCACTGCACTGCACTGCACTGCACTGCTCTGTACTGCTCTGTACTGCTCTGTACTGCTCTGTACTGCTCTGTACTGCTCTGTACTGCTCTGTACTGCTCTGCACTGCACTGCACTGCACTGCACTGCACTGTAGTGTACTGTACTGTACTGTACTGTACTGTACTGCACTGCACTGCACTGCACTGCACTATACAGTACAGATCCTTATGTACAAACAATTATGTACTATAATGCACAATTATGTACTATAATGTACGAAAATAGAACGGTACCTTCCTCGCCTTGAAAATTCGATAGATTTAATGGCAGTATTTGCACTTGTTGCACTTGCACTGCATCGAAATGAGGCTATTACCTAGAATAAACACACAATTGCCGTTAAAAACTTTAAAATGACATTTAAAAAAGTAGAAATCAAATAGTTTACAGGTTACACAAAGCATTCCCATTCTCTACAACCTAAAAGCAATCAAAAGCAGACATTCGTGAACAGCAAGCCCAATAAAAATCCGGGATGCCACCAAAGCAATAGGTTCTAGCTGGGGCGACAATAGCATGCAACAACGCAAAAGGAGCGCAGATTGGTGACAAATTTTTAATGTTTGGCGCCATTTCCACACGGAAAGAAAAATAGGCCTGGTTGCTCGAACAATGAAACTGAAAGGAAATCTTAGTTCTAGTTTTGTGAACCTTACGGTGACTATTCTGAGAAAAGGTGGGAGCGTATGTAATTTCTGGAACGGGCTGGTAAATGGGGAATATATAGCTAAAAACTGGGCATCTTCAAAAGCCTTTTTGAGCTACGTGCATCCTTAGTTGTCAAATCTCAAGTAAGAATCTTGATAAAATTAAAAATTGATACAACTTTGAGGCAGAAATTAGCTTTTCAGCTATCAGGACCATGTAGTAAAGGAAATTACTTAAACAGATTGCACAAGATTCTATAGTGAAACCTTTGCATAATTCGGTGTCTTTTAGTACTTTATGATTCAACTTTAACGCAGAGATACTTATTTCACAATCACCAAGATTTTGCATTCAACTTTTACGACAAACAAATAACTACCGACGGCTTCTCCACAGCATAAGGGTGTCCCAGCCCAGCCCAGCCCAACCCAACCCAGCCCAACCCAACCCAACCCAACCCAACCCAACCCACCCAACCCAACCCACCAACCAACCCAACCCAACCCAACCCAACACAACCCAACCCAACCCAACCCAACAGCAACCCAAACTTTGGCACACCCCTGAAGATTACACAGTCACTAATATCAACATACCTCAAGAGTAGCAGTATCTACAACTGATATCTGTAAGAGAACAAAAACATGCAAGCTAAAAATAGCCAACTATATACAGCGGAACCCCGTTAATACGGCCACCGACGGGCCACCAAAAATTGGCCGTATTAACAGGGTGGCCGTATTAACGAGGAAGGGTTAAATTTTGGAGTCTAAGGGGTAGAAATTAATAATAGCATCCTAACGAACTTTTCTTTTAAATCTACATCTGGAAATGTAGATAAAGTTATAAAAAAACATGTTAAATAACTAGTCCACAAACAAAACGAAACGGAAGTCCTAGGTACTTGGGCCTTAATCAACAAATCATGTTCATGATTTTGGAAAAAATCGGTGAATTTTGACTGGTTCTGTCTGCGTTCCAGCCAATAATTTTTATTGCGAGCAATCACACCTAAAAGGGCGTCTGCTGTGTCATTGTTTCCTTTTGATTCGAGGAAACATAATACATCTTCAAGGCAAGATGTTGCCTCACGGTACAAATAGCCGTATTAACGGGGTGGAATTATAAAGAATCCGGCTGTTTGGGATCGCAAAATGTGGCCGCTGGCCGCATTAACGGGAGGCCGCATTAACGGGTTTTTTTTATGAGACTATGTGTGGCCGTTTTACCGGGCCAAACAAATGTGGGCGTAATAACGAGGTGGCCATATTAACGAAGTGGCCGTAAGGCGGGGTCCACTGTAATTACAATCCCTTACCAGGTTTATTAAGACCAGTGATGAAATCTTACCAAATTTATTGGCAAAAATTCATACAATCAAAATTCAATCCCCCCTCAAGCAATGTTACTGACAGTATTACGGCACATGATGTTGTCATGCCCAATTTCGCGATTATCCTAAACAATTAATACCTAACAACATTGCTTGAAGGAGAGGGAAGATTGAGAGGGAGGATGGACGTAGTTTGTTTGAATTTTAGTCAAAACTACAAAAAGGTTAGCTAGTCATTTCGATACATTTCCATGAAGTGCTCGTGTCATTATACTTCAGACAACTATTGGAAGTGCAATCATACAATTTTTGTGAACGATTGTAGAAAGTAGATTTAATTGCCAAACGACAAATACCCACTGAGATGAAAATGTTCCCCACAAAAAAATGTAACTACAGATACAATTATAGTTGGATCAAAGTAGGAAAAATTTGAAAGATTGAAACGTCCATATTTAGGGGACCACCATGATTTAAAATGTGTTTGTGGCGATCAGAGATAAAGATGCAAAAATCAGTAGAGAAGATTGATATTTCTTCACTGGAACATATTTCTTTTGGTATTTCACAAGACAGCATTAGTGAGCAAGGAAATATTCAAAATTCACGGAGCAAATCTAAATAAATATTTCATAAGCATTCCGAAACACATTTATGAATCAATATTGTATCACATTTAGCAGACAGCCAAAATAACAATTCTAAAGTATCAAATTGAAAAGAGAACAAACCTTTCCCTTCGCATTTCCTGTAAATATATACTCTCCTTTTCTGTCAAACGCAGCAACTATGTTTTGTTCACACTGCAAAAACAAATGGTTTAAGACCAACATCTAGTTTGTTTACTTCTATGGAAATATTTAAGCAATCGACAAACTACAATCCCGGACAAAAATGGTGAGATAAAATGAAATTTTTTTAATTTTCCTCTTTACTTTGCCCATGTAAATTCGAATCCCCTACTTTCACCCCAAATCAATGTTGGATTTGTAGTTAAATCATTTTTGCTTCAAAATCATGCATTCACGTTGAAAATGCGGATAAATTGAAAACTTGTAAAATTTGTTAGAATATGAACATTTAAATGGATAACACACAATCTTGCAACATTGAAGTTCCACAAGGTTCACCATTGAGCTCACTTTTTAAAGAAAACGAGTCGTTTTTGATAGTTTTTATGACACAATTCTGTATGCATTGAGACTGTTAGACAGACACAATGCATACAAATTGTATGTATGATACAATACTTTTGAACCTTCAGTTTCTGATTTTCAACTTGCTAAGTAAAGCAGCTTTTCAGCCATGCTTGCAGGACTTATAATTTTGGCAGTAGAGTTCATGTAGTGAGAATTAAAATTTCCTTGCTGCTTTGGAAATATATTAGCCAAATTTTCTTCCAATAACACATGCAAAGAATTTTGCAACTTTGATTCTCTTCTTTGCTGTTCACTTTGCATGAAAAAACTAAGTTCTTGATCAAACATCTCAATTTATTACTAGCATTGGGTTTTTAGCTATCAAAGATTTTGAAGAGTTATCAAAGATATTATCTGTATTTGTTTTGTTGGGACTGCACAATACTTTTGTATTCTGGAATATTGAGGAAAAACTTGCTGTTATCAGCATTTCCAGAAAAATTATTAATCTTACAAACAACAAAGAAAACTACCATTCATTTTTTCAAGCAACGAAATGATTATTTGAACATAATTTTAAAGTGAAATCTTTATCATTTAGTTTTGTTTGCATTGACATAAAAACATCAAAGGTACTATACCTCCTTGATATGGCTTACTTAATAGTTTGATAGGAAATTCAATTCTACATACAAAGTTAATAAAGTTACATTAGTAGTATCAATTCAATTGCTTTTCATCTTGTATCCTTCAATACAGCCTAATTGAACAGATATCAACCAAATTGATTACACAATACCCAATACCAATATAGGCTTCTTATTATATCTATAAATTAGGTTGTACATATTCATATCACATACCTCTCCTCCAACTGGAAGTACATGATTTTCTCCATCAATTTCAACTAATACAGGCTGATGTTTCATTGGACAAACAAGGAATTTTTTACTAAAAGGAAACATGAAAAAACGATATAGTGGACCAATAAGTTGTTAAAAATGTAAAAAGTACTTTTAAAAAGGAAATTTTTTATAAAATAGACAATTACAAAGCTACCCTTAAGCCCAATGCAAACTTAAAAATTTACCATAGTTTATTAATTGCTTATGTCACATATAAAAATTGATCATCTCTTTACTGACATTGCTTCTTCAATGTCTGCAGTACCACTTTGCAGTTAAAGAATGAAGAATCAAATCTTACTTATTGCGGGGATGGAATTGAACTTTGTGGATTGCTGATGGAAATCTGTATCTATGTTCACAATCACCAGAGAGGACATCCCAAACAGCTACATTCCAGTCTGTAGAAGCACTCAGTAATTTTTTTCCATTACGACTCCAACTGCAATGTAACATTTACCATATTTTTTAGCCAAATAATTGAAAATTCATAGAAGGAATGTGATAGAAATACCAAGTGCATAATCAAACAAGTTGACACAAGAAACATGATGTGCAGACTTTCTCATTTGATTATAGTAAGCAGGAGACAGATCACATGTCAATTTACATTAAAGTATATAGCATTTGATTAATTAAGGATACAAGTTTAAACAATTAATAATCTAAACATATTTCCATAAAATTTCCAATACCAGAAAACCACATTATGACATCTAGTTCATGCCTCCTATTTGACTCCATTTTATTGAAATTTTCAGGACTTGTTTTAATTTTTGCAAATATATCTCAACTGCTGTTTTCAAATTATACAGGTCTGGTCATTCGTAATATACAAGACTTTTACATGGGGAACAACTAGTAATCTCCAGGAGGGCAATTTGTAGGTGAATATGAATAGAAACAAAGGAAAAAATAGATTTCAAGAAGAGCAATTTGTTTTTTAGAGCAATTTAGGAGAACAATATGTACCTCCTCTGTAGCATTTGAAAAAAGCATAGAAGGGGGGGAGCCAGAGCTCTCCTCAAATTGCTAGGCCTGAATAAATTAGGCTAAAATTTACAGCTGACTGTTTGAGGTTTTTGTGATTTTCTTTACTTAACACTGAATATATTTATTTTCTTCCTCTTCTTTAATTTGTCACTTTCACATGCATCATTGCTAAAAGCCCTTAATACTTGAGGTCAAACTGCTTGAATAATTGATTTTTGAATCATTGGCAAATAAAATACAGATGGTAGCCCAGATACAGAATGTTTGAGCAAATAATAATTCCACAACTCAAAAAATTTTGGTGCATAAAGAGGCATCAAAAGCGTGGCTGGGAGCCTCAAACAACTATGCATGCACAAATCAGGGTTAAGGGAGGTGAGAAGATTTATATGAATTTAATAGGTGGCAGTCTGAGACATAGATAGAGGGGGTCCAAGGGGGATCACCCCCTGTAAAGCTAAAGAGTACTTTATTAGAAAAAATTTCTGGTCTTGTCAAAAATATAAATGGTTGACCATTTTTCATCTAAGTACTACGTGGGAAAGAATTTTAAAGGTGAATATAATGATTTCTTCCATTGTTTGAATCAGAATGGCAATCCCTTAAAATAAGGTAAAGTAGTAATACTTAAAACTGCCTTTATTGGGGAAGAAAACCTGAAATCGTTCATGTCCTGTTGAAATTCAGATCTGGCAAGAATACGTGCAAGAGCAAAACTGAATTCAATCAATACATAACAGATTACAGTTCCTGGTCAGAAATACTCGAGCTATTGTCAGAATTGTAAAATATGTCAGAATTATATTGCTTTCAGGGAACAATTATGTTTTGACAGGAAATCAGTTATTACACTTAATATGCTAATTGGCGACTTAGCTGAAAGAGGAGAAGCTAAGTTGAAAGAAGCACATAGCCAAAAGCCAAACATCACTTCCAAAATTTGGAAAAATCAAATTGTGGCCAAAAGTGCTAATCAAATAACAAGGGAAAAGATTAACCATTATGTGACCATGGGAAATTGATGTTAACAGAAAACTGCAAAAACACCTGTTTGCCCGTGTGATGAAAAGCACAGTTAGTACATTTAATTTGCATGTGTGCAGGTGGGTGCGATCACACGGGCTAAACAAAAAGACTGGCTTATTATATTTTTGCTGGAAAATCTAAATTTCTAGCCCCTTCTTTTGAATCTTCCTATCTATGCTGCTGATGGAATTGAATACAATATTCAAGATTTGTTATTAAAAAATCTTATGACTTCTTGAACAAATGCAGAAACAAACAAACCTCACTGAGCATACAGGATGCACATGTGCATTATAAACTTTTGCAATTCCTCTAGTTAAAAAGTCCCAGACAACCAGGCGCCCATCATTGCAGCCAACAGCCAAGAGAGAGCCAGTTCTGTTGAAAGCACAAGTTAAAGCAGCACTTATTGAGTCAAGGGTACCATCAAATTCCTGTAATAAAGATGCCAATATGGTAACATTTTCATTGAAGATTAAAAACAATTGTAGAAACAAAGAACTAAATTCAGAAATTTATATGGTAATAAAAACAGAAGGATATCATTAATTAAAAACTCACCTCAGGATAACTTTGACCAAATGATTCTGCAAAATGAAAATTTAGACCCATCAGACCGACAAAAATGTGTTACATGATAAAGAAGTTTGATCACTTACTTTAGCTGACATAGATAATCTTAACTGCAAGAAACTTGTTTTATGCACATTAGAACATTTCCAGTAACTGTGATACTGGTATGAAATTCACTCTCAGATTTATGTGATAACATATGGGCAAGCAGAAATTAAATTTTGTTTATTTAATTTGAGCTAGTTTTAAAACAAAAGTAGTTGAATTCAGGCTAATATGGAACGCTCCATTTTAAAAAGTTCGCATTCTAGAGGCCACATAATTTTCCAGCACACCTACTTCATTTGTCAACACTCTTTGTATGGAAGTGTTACAACCACAGTTTAAGGTATCGTAAAATGGAAAAATGCAGGTTATAGTGCAGTTTCGCACCTCTTGGAAGCTGGTTCGTATCTAAACCTTTACGTATGGTTTGTATGAGATTTCATTGAAAGTTTGGAATAAAAATATGCACTGCTCACAACCAGCTTATACTCAATACCTACTATTTTGGCGCCAATTGTAAAAAAGCTAAATATTCTTTTACTTTCTAAAACAAATATAACTTACGTATGAGCTCAAGGTCCGTCATTTTCTTGACCTTCAAAACTTAACAGTAGAATAACAGAATTCACCTTCCAAACACAAACAATTCACTCTATATTTAAGCCTTTAAAGATTTTGTTGTAGTTGTTGCACACCTGGCCGGGCATCTTCCCATAACGAGGTCATTTCATAATGGATTCCAACTTGTAAACATGTCTTATGTTATGGATCAGGTTCGGTATAGGACACCTAGGTATGAAACTAGCTAGAGGACAGAGTTACAAGAAAAATGGCAGTGTTGTTGCAATATTATTGTCTAGCCAAAATTTGAATAGCCATAGCAAACGCAGAATAAATTCCAGGGCTTTTTTACGAGAAAAATATTGGGAAATTTGTTAAGGCAAAAAAATTGAAGTAGAAATCTTTCTTGATTTCTTAGTACTTTTGTAACTGCATGAACAGTGGTGAAACATACCAATTAATTTATGGGAAAGGGTATATATTTGATATTTTGGCAAAACAGTAGTCTTCTTTGCACCTTTATTTGCGCATAGGCAATTCGGTTATTAACTTTCGAAACCATTGGCGAGCACTTCATTTTAAGCAAGGGTACATCAGTCATAGAAAAAACAATGACGACGATCATCTGATTATAGACAATATATTATGCGTTTCTAGAGATTGAATTATATACAATATAACACCACCGAAAAAGTTTTACAAATTTATATATCAGTTCAGTAATAAATGGCTTTCATTTGGAAATGTCAGTCCTTGAAGTCGCTTGATTCCCGCCTTGCACCGAGAGACAATTTCCGTATAAATCCCAGTCAGGAATAGTAAAATTACTTGGGATGTAATGCATCTCTTAATCTGATTATAGAAGGGTCGGTTTTCATGAGACCTAGCTCGAATGACAGCTCGACCAATGAGTCCTACTCCATTGAAAAGCTCCAGTACGATTAACCGCAATCAACTGCAAATTGCATGAAAGGAGTTTTCATTTCTTTATTGGCGGAAGAAGAGCGGGTAGTCTATTTGTTTTCATAATCATGCGATTACTAGACAGTCCAGCATCCGGCAGCCGTTCAGCATTTTGAATCTTTTTGGATATGACACGAACCAGATCTCTCGCTTGCTTCAGACTGTAGGCTACAGAATAAAACCCGAGATTAGTTTTTCGAAGAAAGCGTCACAAAACCCTATTCTTTCAATACTCGCTAAAGAAAACTAGATATTGATGTAATCATGATCCTCATAAGGCCCCTTTGAAAAATAAACTATTCTTCTATTCTCCTAAATACATATTTTAAGTTGACTTCCCGTGTGAGTTAGCTTCCATGATTTTTAATGATAATAAAAAATGAGACATTTAACATATTCTATAACAAATTTAGATAATTAATAAGACGATCCTCAATATAATAATCTATTGGTTGCTTTTACGATATCCATAGAGCAGTACACGACTAGGTGGCAACTGATTTGTGAGCTTTTAAAATAGAAGACATACTTTAAACTCAAGTACTTTTGAAAAATTTGATTTTCTTTAACTGTTTTATCAGCTACAGTTGTAAAGGTAAAATCTGATGATGCTTGTTTTCATAGCGCACTTGCTTTGGCTATGAGAAACAGGAGCTGTGATAAATTCGTATTCACCTTTAAGTCGTGCTAAAATATCTCCTAAAAAGTACTGGCTTTCAATCCATTCATCATAGTCCGGTATTAAGTCGAATGCTGTCTGTCCTTGATAATTTCGAACACGAAAGTCAGCACCTGCAAAAGGCCAAGGAGAAGAAAGGTCATTATTTTTCATCATTCGAATTAACATGAACAAACATTGCATGAAAACATTAACTTGAAACAAAGGTCAAATCCAACAAGGCTAAAATAACGTCACAAATAGTGTCAGAAATTCTAAACATCTATCAAGTTATCTGAAAGGCTGTTCAAAGAAACATTAGAGGTTCAAAAGGAGCAAAGACAAAGCAATCCTTCTTAAAAAGATTATTCTTAAAAACAAATAGGGTAAACCATTAAAAGACGGGTTCATGATACAAAAGCAATTTGTTACACTTCTGTCTTTTTGAGCAATCTTTTGGCGGTACAGAACTGTAGTAGTATATTGTGAAATGTTTGCTTTTTTCAAAGTCATTTTTTGTATTATTACAGATATGTTTGATGGACCATGTTTCATTGGGGGGGGGTGGAACGGGGGTGCTACAGACCATTTGTTCTATTTATCAGACGTCTCTTTAGAATTCCGCTGAAGTGGGCATTATACTTTTGTCTCCGTTAAATAGTCGAAGGTTATTGGCAACAAATTTAGCTCTCATACCATTTTCCAAGAGAATCTTGGCACCATTTAAGTTATTCGTTCTAGCGGCATAAAACAGTGGTGTGTGTCGGTCTTCATTCAGCGCATTGACATCGGATCCCCGATTAATGAGCAGTTCCAGAACATCAGTCATATGTCGTTGGGATGCAGCTAGATGGAGCGGCCTGTGAAAGCAAAACTCTCTCTACCGTTACTTTGCATACATAATCAAGTTACGTGCAAAGAAGTCATGCATAGTTATGAATCTTTCAATTTCTGGGTATGAATACAAAGTCTTTTTGACTATTTGAATAACAACATAAGAACGTGCTTGTCCGTCAGACCTTGTTTGTTAACCCTTTTGGCTGTTAACAGAAAAACCTGTGTATTCTTTGATCGCTTTCAATCGTACGTCCACAACCCCAGCTCAGTTCAAAGTTAGGAGTGAATGTAACGTAGGAGACATAAACATTATACCTAAGAGGTGCGGCTGCAAATAATCAAAAACTATGTCCATGATTGTCGAAATAAGATGGTTGACTTACGTATTCCCTTGCGAATAAAAAATACACGTTGATGCACCAGATGAAAGAAGAAGTTCGATTGTTGCAGTAAAATTCGAGCTGTAAGATTTCAAGAAAAGGTATCTAAGACAGGGAGAAATGCCAGTGACGAAATACTAATGAAAGCAAATACCAGTAGTTTATTCACAAAAGGCAGGAACTAATCGATTCTATGTTTTATCACGAGGTCCTTTCGATTAGCTACTATAATAAAGTATTAAGAGCCGGGAATGTATAAAATAATGCAACATTTAATCAAACTATATTGTTAAATAAGAAGTATCTTTCATGTGATTTCAGAATATAACAACTGAAGATGAAAATATTGCTTTTAAATACACAAACTGGAATATTTTCATAATGGTTCCATAAAAGAATTGGTGAATAGGATAAAAAGCTTCATATAATATATTTATACAATATCCAATACTTTTGCAAAATTGTGTTTAGTTTTACGCCTTCCAACTTGCATTCAATTATAAATTGCGATTTTTCAAAATAAGTACTGTTTTCAGCATAGCTTCAACTTCTCATAACAAGTTTTATTTTCCATTTTGTGTGACACGAGCTAGATATGCACTGTTTTCTCGTCTTTAAAACATTAATATTTATATATTTTAGATTGCAGTTGTTGTATTATGCAAATACATAAATACATTGATACATTGATACATTTAACAAAACCAATAGAAAAATAGGCTACCTTCATTACAATTTTAATCTTTGTGAAATTTTCTGATTAATGCAGATGTTTTATCTCTGTCAAATCATCTTTGGTAAAGAAATTGACAGAAAATCGACTAATTATATTTTAAATTAAGAAGCAATTACAAAGAGGGAGATATTCACAAGGGTACCATAAAACTTCGTACCATGGTATTTTGTCCATGAGCAACTTCTCGAGTAAAAGGTCGGGTTCGCTGTCTTTGAAATCGAATGAATTGCCAAGAAGCCTACGACAAGTATAGCCGAGTAAATTGAAAAAGCTTTCTCATCGAATTTCCATATTCTCTAGATGCAAAATGACAGGACAAGAACTACACTTCTATTTAATCTGACAATTCAAATCCACTAATGTAAAAGACGATTGGACAAAAAAGGAATTTCTAAACATATCCTATTTGACTCTGAACTGACTTGATTTTTTAAACATGCTTAATTTTAAGACTATCAATTTGAAACTTGAAACGTTCAACTGGTATAAAATTTCGAACATAACTCATTACAATTTGAAATTGAATTGAACTTGAATTTCACAAACCAGCAAGCTGTATCCAAGTGATCATTGGCAATGGCAAGATGGACGAGACTGGGAGGAAGTTCCTAAATATAGAGTTAGTCAAAAGTTATAAAATAAATTCTAAAATCAATATCATGCCTAAAACATATAGATCAACATCGTACCTAGTATATGACAAATCGATGATTGTTTTATTGGTTATCTAGCAAGCATTATAATACACCTGTGTACTAGTCTCAATTAGAACTACAAATAGCCTTGACAGGTCATCAGTAAACAAGAACAGGCAACTGTGGTCTGATGATCACATAAAGTGTGGAACTCAGAGTATCAACTCATAACCGTCCTGTTCTATACACCAAATAGCGTGTACACTCGTGCAAGTATATACAGACCGGTAAACAGTTTATTTCAAGATTGGATATCTATCTGATTAGGTAATTCATGTTTGGTATTTGGGGTGGCAAAATCTACCCTGCTAAAAGCATTATGAAAATAAATTCCTGTGTACATTAAAGGTCAGTGCGGACAATCAAAATAGTTCCCGTTACCGTTTCGTCTTCCAGTGCTAATCTGATTGCCCCATCTGAATCCGCAGCAAGCAGTGCTTGAATACCATCTATCCTTCCTTGCATTGCACAGCAATGAATAGGCATCAATTCCCGGCGATTTCTTGTTACCAATGAAATTCGTTTCTCGATCTACAAAGCCAGGAACAAGAATGGTAGGTTTATTCTCAATACTTCTATATACGGCTTGATGCTGCACACAATCTTACTTCTTCATGGAAGGAAAAAGAAACCAAGGATACAACTCACAAACACTTTGACCATAAAAGCAACGTTTGGGGGGGTGTGTCCCCCTCCAAATTCTAGCAGGGGAGGGGGTGAGATATCTTCAAAAAATGGCATATGATACAAACTTGGTCTATATAAGACGATTCGGAAACAAAAAAGGCTGAAAATAACAACTGTCTTTGGCACAGCATAGGAAGATGAAAACAAAATTCTGAAACATGGGTGTCGTCTTGTTTACATTAAAGCCTGTGGTAATGACTTCATCAAACTGATCTAGTGAAAATAAGTCTCTCCAATTGAAAGTATGCAAATTGCTTTCTGTTAGGCAGTTTCTTCTAACGCAGTTGACTTCAGCATTTTAACAATACTCATTCCCTGTGCTTCTACTTCCGCTTATCGAGAGAAACTTTATTTATCTTTGATATTTAATATAAAATGATAACAACTTCGATGTCAGGGACGTAAATTGGCAGATTTTTTTTGGGGGGGATGAAGGGCTCAAAATTTCCGACTGACAAAGGTCAATTCTAATTTTGTATGAGGGCGTAAACTTTAATAGTTTTTACCAACAAAACCTTATAAACTGTCTCGTAAATAATTATTCAGCTGTATGATAAAGTTTCTAGATTTCGTAAATTTGGAAGATCGAGCATAAAGACTGTTAGTTTAATTAGTGCATCAAAACATACGTAGTCCAAAAATCAGGTGTTAATTTTTCTCCTTCTACGACTTGCCCATTGCTCCACTATCTTATCTAAATTTACTTTGTCGAAAATGTCTTTCTCACAAGTAAGAGTCATGATGTCGTTTAGTCTTTCACAGGGGTGGCGCCAAGAAATTCAAAGTTGGGGAGGGGGAGGCTCGAGTTGATAGAATTATTAGACTAAAGAACCATCTTTTGAAAAACGCACTAAAACGATTCACGATATTTTATACCTATTATTTTATGGGGCAGTCATTATCCTAGCAGTACGTTTGAAGGTGGCAGGCGGGAGGTTAGCCGAGGCCTTAAGGATATTCAAAAGAAGTGGCTTCCCGCAGAAAATTTTCACGACCACGCTTTTTAGATTGGCTTAAAATACATTTCAGAATATTTCTTGCAGGTATTTTCTTGCAATCGTTTAAAACATTTTGTTATTTTTAAGGCATGCTCTTATTACGTTTGATTAATTCCAGTCTTAAAATTGAATTCATTTTTTAAGAGGCTCCATAGACCTCGGCGTATTCCATGGAAATTAAGCAACCTAAAGGATATGTCGGATTATTCTTTTCTTTATACTTTTTCCTTTACTCTTTTTATTTGCTTAAAAATACATTTTTGCAAAAAAGTGGGAGGGGGGCTTCAGCCCCCAGCCCTCCACCTGGTGCCGCCTATGTTACACTGGTCGATCTCGAACGGAGAAAGTTCTTGACAAGTCATGGGAAATGTACTGCACTTCTTTAAGCATTACTGTTAAATATTATTTAAAAAATTCGATTTCGTATCCCGTTTTTAGAAGCAATTTGATGAAATGATTATCACACTATCCCCATTGCGACGAATGTAGTTGAAAAAACTTGCATTCTCATACAAAACTTCATTTTTTCTGTATTGCGTCGCCTCTCATTCTTTTTAGGACTGCCTTTTACCATACAACTATTTCTTTTGAACTTATACCTTTCTTATGCTTCTCTTTGAGCTACAGTTCACAAGATCATTTGAAACAAAACTTCAATTTTCACAAATGATTCAAATTTTTTCCGATTAACCTAGCTTTCCACCAACAGCTTTAAATTTTCCGACTGTCCTCAAATTTTCTGACTGGATGAAAGATTGGGGGGTGTCACACCCCTCAGTATTTACGTGCCTGTTCGATGTGACAACAACAAAAGCAATTATTACCTCAAAAATAAATCTTTTTAATATTTGGCTAATAAATGATAATTCTTTGAGCTAGAAAGATAACTAAAAACGTCTATTTTGGATTTATACGTACCAGTTTGTTAATACACTCAAGTTGAGTTGGTTCTCCATGTTCACCATAACATTTCACATGCAATGGAGAGTTTTTATCCTCATCTAACACATTTATGTCAGCGCCAGATTCCAGCAATAGCTTGAAAAAGACAGTTAGTTTATCTTGCATCTTGCGCAAACAGCCAAAGCAATAACATAGACAGATAAAAACAAAGAAAGAAAGAAGAGAATAATTTCTTAGAAAGTGGAATATATAACTCTGATATAAGGCAAACAAGTTTGGAACAGTTTTTTACATAATCTTTTCGTTTAAATATTCCAATTTTTGTTTGTATTTTTGATTAAAAATATAGTTAATTTAACTTTAAAAGTTAACTTAACTATCCAATATCTAATAAAAGTAGACTGTTATGCTTATGACCTTACAAAAAATTAACATAGTATAAGCTACGCACACTGTACCTATGAAATAACAAAAGGAATGCCGCCAAGCAATCTGTACGCATGCGATAAGCTTATACGAATGACGTTTCCACAGAAATGGATAAGATTGATTGATGGCTTGAATCTTGTTTAATATTTCCCAATGCTTTTCCTAAAAAATACCTCGAAGAAAGACAAGCTACTCATCAACTGAAATCATATTGCTTCTGAAAATATCACTGAAACTTTCCACTTATAGTATAATGCCTACTCATGGTTTTGGCTATTCCAAGCTGCCCAAAAAAGTAGGTTGACTTGGGAATCATTTCACCAAGACATGCACAAAGCCAAGTTGAAATAGCTCTTAAAATACGCCAACAAACAAGATCTATTAAACAATACAATATAATGCTTCGTATCTGAAGAATACCTCCATGGTCATGGCGTCCTTTACACGGTGCAGGGGTGTCGCACCTCTGTAGTCAAGCAAATTTACATCGACTCTCTCAGCTAAGAGAATCTAGAAAAGAGAGCAGATTTCAAAAAGACTATCGGCCATTAATCAGATACATTTCCAAAGTATTATTTGCCTTGAAAATGATAATAATTTGAGTATCATCGTGATACACTATGTATCATGTTCCGATGAGTCATAACGATGAAAACCATCTCAAGGAGATATATTTTAGAAATATTTTTTAGATAAAGATGAAAAGCTTAATCTTAAAGTTCGTTTAATGTTGGTAGCTCCAAATGCAGTGAGACACTTGCCTTGACAGCACCGATATTTCCGAAATAGGCTGCTGTATGAAGAAACGTACTGCCATTTAGACATCTACAAGAAGTAGAAGCGGTTGAGCTTGTTAATGCTTGCATAAAAAGTGGAAAAAATTGAATATAACAATGTTATCTGCACGGCACCCTCACTCTTGCTAAAGGTGAATCTGCATCAGCCACGTAGCTGCAGGGGGCACGGGGGGGGGGGAGGGCTGTGCCCCCTCTGGCTACAACAGCTTGCCCCCTCTGGCTACAGTTTTTCCAAATGATATTTTGAAAATTTGGCATATTTAGAATTTCATGACCTTGATTTTGTCCAAATATATCTGTTTGTTATATATCTGTTTTCTTGTTTTAACGCCTGCCCCCCTCAGGTATGGTTCTTGCTCGAGTTTGCCCTCCCTAGCCGACACTTACAGCTACGTTGTTGGTCTGCATGCAGGCTAAATATTGAGCATAACAAAGAAAATACAGAAAATAAAATTGTCATCTCTCTAAAGTTGGGTCTGCACGCAGGCTAAGTTTGCATGGCAGAATTTTACAATCATTTAATCGATATTTCTTTATCGAATCCAAAGAAATGTAACAAGAAGCAGCATCATTGCTATTTTTTATCTTACCTATATAAAAATCAATGTTCAGGGGGTACTTAAGATGTTTGTCCTTGAAATTCACAGAAAAGAAAATGTAACTGTGCAAAAAATACATGTATCAAGTTATTTTTTTAGCAATACTGTAACATAATAAATTAGGCCATGATGCAAATGGTCGTAACTAACTGTGAAGCAAGAATTCTTTGCATATGAAAACACAAAACGACCTTATCCTCTTATCTCCTCTGTGAATTCAAAAGAAAAACGATCTTGAAATTAAAGTTACCGTGTTACAAAGAAAAGAGAAAAGCAATAGTCTGTAGCTGGACAATAACCTGCTTCTGAGACTAGCAAACTTTTTGATACCAAGATGGTGTTCCTTGAGGACGTGCAAAAGAGTGCTGTTGTCTCCACCGATGATCAGAGGTACTTTTGTGGTTAATTCGTTGCTTCTGCCTGAAGAAAAAACTTCTCGGTTAAACAATTTTCCTTTCTGATTACAACAACATCAGAGTTGAATTATCGTTCTAGTATAAACTTTTACGGAGGGGTAAATTTGATCTAGTTGCATTATATCCATAAAACCTTTAAACATAAAGGTGAGATCCAAATACAAATGCTGTCTACACTGAAGAAAAACTTCTATGCAAGGAATATGGATCGTTTAACGTAAAGCCCTCGGCTGCTATTAGTTAAGTACCAAATGACACAAACATTCAAAATTGATGCACATACTAGTAAGCATCTTACTCTAGCCTCCTGAAAGTTTTCAAACGAAGCATAGCTTTAATATCAGTAACACAAAGATTTAAGTAAATTAATAGACAAATATTTCAAGGCCAAAGAAAAATAATTACCCAAGAACAGTGGCTTTAGGGTCCGTCAATGCCCAACTTTGAAAAAATGTGTTTTTTTTTCTAAAATAGTATCACTGCCAAAGCTAACCACTTACCCTTGTAGAATTCTTTCAGCTCAGAATTTCTCAGTAATTCCAAAGCTGTTTTGCCACTTCTGTTTTTCTTTTCAATATTAGCACCCCATTCTATAAGAAGCTGTAATCAACAGAATATCATCAGTTGTATTAATGTAATAATTAATATTGGAAAACATTGTATAGATACCCAATACTTGCCCCCTTTTTGAGTTTCACATCTTTATTTCGTAAAATGATAAAAAGGCAATACATAATAAAAATACACCAATAATACAAACACCAAAAAAATCATTTCATTCCATCTCAGCCAGTAAACCTAACTCAAATGATAACAAAAATGGTTAAGTCTACGCCAAATTGTTGATAATCCTTCTTTTACCTCGGCTGTTCCTTTTTTTTTTAAATATGTACGTTGCGTGTGGTACTTCATCCAGAATAACGATAATATAGTTGGCAAATAAATTTAGTACCAGAATTAAAATATATTAGTTTGATTGGTAAAAACACGACGTTTCGAGCATGCACTCGTTATTAAGTGAGTGTCAATTAGCATGTTCATTTTCTTATTCACTAAAGGCTAAAAATTGACACTCTCTAAGCCAAATCTGTCATTTCTACATTCAGGTAAATTTGCATTAGTAAGAAAAACAATATACAACGCCCTCGATGGACGTGTAACCATCGTACCTGTCCAACCCTTTTATGAAGTCCTTCGAGTGCCAGAAAGAATGGTGTTACACCAAAAATATTCAAACAGTCTACGTCTGCACCACTTTCGAGAAGAAATTCGACAATTTCCTGAGATGAAGAATATTATGCTTTTATATGAGAAGAAATTATCCCGTTGATCTAGGGATATGCTAGGGCAGTAGCTTCATACAAGTGAATTTTGGCCTTGAATACAGTTGAGATGAAGTTCTCACGTATGAGAGAGATAGGTAAACAGTAAAAATACTGTAAAGTGCAGTATACTTCATTTCGAAGGCTCTATATTAAATCTCAAGTAAGGACAATGCCAAACTCTAGATTTATTACCTAGAGAACGATGCTCCTTAAGACTAGAGATCTTCACTCTGAGAATTATCACACAACTTACTAATTGTCCATTTCTACATGCAACATGCATTGCGGTATTTCCAGACTTTTTGTCACGCGAATTAACAAAATTGTGGCTCTTCTCAAAGAATGCAACCTAGAAGAAGGCAAAACAAAATGAGGCGTTTAAAGACTATTATGATTGAAGAAAATGAGCATCAACACACCAAAGGAAGTTGGACATGGAGCTCTAAGTATTTTTTTAATATTAAGAAGTTAACAAGATGAAATTAAATAATAACATCTTACATACACTAAAACTGCTTAAAGCAAATATATCGAGAAAATGACGGGGAAACTGCTATAAAGCTTGTCGCACACTTAAAAGACAAACTTGCTTAGACGAGATAATATAGATTAAATTAAATCAATAAAGATTTTCCTAAGGTATATTTTTAAAAGTTGGTCGTTAAAATCTTTTTTGGAAACAACTAGTGAAGGCACAACACAGATATGTTAAAGTCAGAAAATGAAAGTACGACTACATAGTTAGCCTTAAATTGTCCTTGCATAGTTAGTCTTACCAATTTCTGTACAGACTCAAGTTCACCATTCTTAGCAGCTTTATAAAGAAGTCGTTGACACTGCATGCTATTTCCAGGAAATACTTGATACAAAAATCTGAAACGGTGTTTGATAGAGTATAAATTGACTATTTCACAAGAAATTATAAAAGTAATTACAACGTTTCATGCGACTATCAGATGTAAAAAGCATTGAAGCACTTGTACTGTTATACAAAATGAATATATAAGCAAGAACTAAGATATGTACATAGAGTACTTCTAAGACAAGGAAGATATGAAATAAAAAACTTCTGAAATTATAGAAGTAAGAAAAGAAAATAAAAAATTTTCCAGCAAGGTTATGCAAAAAAATTCATCATTGCAGAAAATGATATGAAATTATATCTCAAGAAAATAAAATTTCTTACTTTGTGCCTTTTTTCAATGCCTTGTTTTTGGACCCACAGTCAAGATAAATCTGAGAAATATTGCTTGATTTTAATATAAAAACATAAAAAGAAAGTTAATACAATAAACATGGATCATTTAATCTTTCTATATGTTAAATCCGGCGTTCATTCGAAAGGACAGTGCTCAATTTTTCGCTATTTTTCGTTAAATAACAACAAGAAAGGTAGGTTGTTGGAAGATCAGTTCGATCTAATCTTTTTTAAGAAGGAAAGAAAATTGTTTGTTCTTTAATCAAGGTCGTAAAAAACATCCATTTCTTCTTAATCAATATAACCAATCTTCACAGTACTCACTTTATAGGGTAGGGGCATTCATTGGGCCCAATCAAAGGGGGTGCCCATTAATAAATTTCGTCATTATAAAAGCATTTGCACTACCCTACCTCATATTGTGGGAAAGATGACGGTTGTAAGTCAAAAACGTCGTGCTTCTTGATACCAAGAACTTCCCGAGCAGAAACTACGAAACACAATAGTCATATTTGGAGAATAAGACATTGCGAATTGGAAAAGATCACTGGTTATTTGCAATTTGTTCTAAGGATATCTTTCCAGACATGAGTAAGCTACACAAATTTTTAACTTGGAAAGTTCGACATCAATTCTCGAATTTCGATCCTAACAAATCATCATGGGGGAATCTTAGAAAAATAGCTTGATAATTTTCAGGCTAAGTAAAGTTAGACTTGGCATGAAACAAGGAATATTTTCAAAAGAGAGGTCTTTTTCCGTTTCTTCAAATGTTATTGATATACGATAAAGAGTACAAAATAAAAACATTAAAAAATTGTATGTTTAAAACGAGAAAATTTCAGAACTAATTTTTAACAAAAACGCCTGAAACCTTAAAATCTATGTTACATAGGCATGTCTCTATATTACGTGTCATTGAAATCTTATTTATGACCATATTAAGCATTTTTCGAAATAAACACTGACGACAAGTAAGATATACAAGTATCCAATACTGTTAACAGAAGAATAAATTATGACCAGAAGTACCTTTGTTTTTATCATCTGTCTTTAAATCGTCAAAATATTCACCTACAAAATTATTTTTGTATCAAAATGGCCCATCAGTTGTAGCATTATTGCAAGATCTGGCTAATTTTATTATCAAGAAGTTGTATCAAGATGACTAAAATTTTGTACTAACAGGAATTTATAGTTCACAAGGCCTCTAAAGGAATGATCATTCATAACTGTATAAGATAGTAAATAAATTGCCTTTCTAAAAGCCTTTTCATCTTCAACTATTTGCTCGCGTGAATAGATATGTCAGTATCTGAAACTTTTACTTAGAAACAGACAGAATAAGGATTTTGTGCAATGATAAAAAACGAGAAGATAGGATGCTGCAATTAAGCCACTTTAATGGTCCAAGTGTCACACCACACCATTAGCTTTAGATGGATGCTAGCATAAAAATACCCCAAAAAATTGCAATCTTCTGACAGGAACCAATTATGTATTGCAAAAAAGAAAGCATAGAAAAATCACCCGTCTCTATATCTTTGACAATAATTTTTCGGTCTTTAGTGATGCTTTCCTTCCCAGACACATTGTAAAATCCTGTTCCTCCAGTGATGCTCTAAAATGACAACCATTGACAGTTCAGCAAAGTTCGGCAAAAATTAAGCTCGGAGAATATTCTGAAGTGAAAATGGCAATTTTCGATCATATAGTCAGATTGTTAGCAATTCTTATAAACGTATTATAAACTGGCAGACGTGGAAAAGTGGCTCAGAATCTTGGATAACATACTGAAACATCAGAGCAGCCCTTCTGCTCTCTTCCGTTTCCAAGCAATTTGAGCAGTCGATAGGCTACAGATTTGATGAATACATCGATAGAGTGATATTTCTGTCAAAGTTCCAGTGACGAGTTAAGGTTTAACATTCTTCAGCAAATTCTACTCTTGATAATTTCCATATCAAGCTTCCCATATTCTGGGAAAAAGAAAACACAAAAACCCAGAGCAAATTGGCTAATAATCTCAGACGTGATATTGTTCCAATTAACAATTTGACAAAAGTAGAGAAAGTGTGAACAGAACTTCGTAAGCTTAGGATAAAGTAGCAATGGTGGGAGACATACCAAGTTGATCATCATACTAGTGACCAGCTCATTGATTGTCAAATTGCTGGAAGGGAAAATGGAAACTGGTTTCTGAATATAATTTTGTAGAAAGAAAACGAAGGGAATTTGGTGGGAATGCTTAGCTGGAATGAAATATATTTCAAATAGGGGGAAAGGAGAAAACCCATAGGGCCAGATTGACTGTCTTCTATAGGGAGTCCATTTTCTGAAGGTTATCAAGGCGTTGAGCCCAAGATATGGATCTTATGCAAAGCTAATTGTACGCTTTTTGGAGGCTAATTGTACGTATAGAACGTTTGCTATCATTATGATCTTTATTTAGTTTTTATGATTTCGCAACAGCGATCCTAGACAAAGGATTGTGAAGGACACTCATGAAAAACTGACATTCCGAATAGCGCCCCTCGTGGGTTTCTGGTTGTTGGGTCGCTGTTATCTATGCCCTCGTATGTCTTTCTGCCCTATTACAGCTGACTTCTTCTGCAAATTTCAAGGGACACCTACAACCACTTCTTATCTAGATTTTAAACTGTAACATGGTGGTAGTGACTAGGCCATTTTCTCCTTTTTCCTAATCTTCTTTTAGAATTTATAATTTCATCTACACATTTTATTTATTTAGTTTTTAACTTCCATTTCTCAACAAAGTATGAAAAAGAAAACACAAGTATTAATATTAGGGAATAGATAATTGCAATTAAATAACGTTTGAGATGGAGAGTAAAGCTTGTGAGATTCAAGATTCAATTTTTGCAACAGGTTTCTACCACCGTGCCATTTTTGTGTTATTTTTCTCAACGAAAAGGCACATAAATGCTCAAAACATGAAAAAATGTGATAATGTTTTGTTTATATTATACTTAAGCATTGCAGAAAAATGTTAAGGAAAAGTTAAGGAAAAATGCAGTTTAAGGCAAATACCTGGGCACAATTACAACTTCATATCGTTCCTTGATTTTCTGTGCAACTATAGATCTTATCTGCAATTAGAAACAAAAAGCTATACATAAAAAAGAAAACTGTTTAACAGGTAAAATTAAAAAAAAAAACAATTAGAAAATCAAGCACGAGAGCAACACTTCAAAAGAGAATGAAACCAGAAATTGTTTTTGCTGTTGATCGAGGGAAGCATTCAGTTCTCACGTTTTCATGCTTGTTATCTGTTTCTATTTAGTATCCTCTAAATAGAAACAGATAACAAGCATGTGTATGTTTTAGGACAACGGAAACCTACACTAGACTAAACAGACAATGTTCAAATTCTTTCGTCACACGTCGGGAATTACGAAACGCTGGCTACTTTTCAAACTTGATTAGAAGAAAAATCGGAACAACTATATGTGGCTTTACATATGTCTACTTAACTGGAGGAAAACAAACCATGATTTACACATCGATATATAAACAGGACAAAGAACATCTGACAGCATAGGGCTCAAAGATTGATTGGCCAAGAGCTTATAGTAAGTCATGTGACCAATCTCGCAAATGAGTCATGACTTGGTCTAAACCTGTTTACATGTTTGGGGATATGATTGGCTAAGCGGCGAGAGAGGCAATGTGATGTAAGGTAAACTCTCTGCCAATCAAGATTTGTGCTTTGTCTATCTGAAATGTTACACTCATGTGTATAGAGACAAGAACATTCGTGTCTCTAATAGTTTTACCATTACACTGATTTCAAACATCAGGAGAAGAGAAGTCTTTACCTCAATACGAACATCAAAAACATGCTTCACCCACGAATAGCATTCTGGTACGTTGAAGGTTTGCTCCAGCTCCCGTGTCTCTGAAAGAAGTATTTTAAGAAACTATTTGTTAAATATAAAACAAAACCAAGTAGAGGAGGAAAGTACCAAATGAGAGTGTAGCCAATTAAAAAGGAGAAGAGGATTGTAGCGAAAAAGAGGGCTACCTCAAAAATATCTGAGCAATTGAGGATCAGCAACCGCAAATATTTTATGCAAAATGAACAGTATTTTAACATTCTGCTGTAAAAAGAATGAATTTTCTGAACAGGTGTCTTGAGGCTCACCACTTTGATTTCAAAATGCACGCAATGTGATTTAACTTTTTTAAAGGAGATATAGACATGTCAAATCACGGTGGGATTTAGGAATTTATTCTCCAGTTTGGTATCATTTTAATGTACTGCAAGCAATTATTTTGCTAGAAATTGTGTGTAGGTAAGTGTGCTTTTTGACCCATAAGCCCACTAGACTGACAAGTTCATATCAGAATACTCATTCATATACTGCAATAACCAACCTGATTCGATGTCTTCAAGAGACTTTTCCAGCTCGGTTTTTCTGCAAAAATCAGAAACAGAAATAGAATTGAGAGATGTAATGATGATGTCATCAAACCCTACTTCCAGAATCTTTTAATTTTGACTACATTACCGGAAAGCACACGATGAAATACTTTTGAAAACTGCAGAATCAGTTGATCTGTTACAGATCTGTCTCAAAAAATTTGTTACCTATCAAACCACTATAACCAAACCATTGGTTCTAAAAGTTATGAATCAGGCCAATACAATAGTAATTCGTTAACAAAACATGGGTCTTTCATTTACCAAATTTCAAGAAATCTGTAAAAAACTCAATTAATTTTTCATATTGAGTAATATTCCAGTGCTTTGTATTTTTATGTGATCAAAATTAAAAATCATAACAAAATTGTGATGTCATCACTTGATGTGTTGCCACTTTATTTAAGAAAAAATGAATTTTTCATGAACTGAAACAAAGATTGTTTTTTTGGTGCGAGCTACATAAACAAGGCAGTACATAAAATGGGAGTGTGGTGTTCGTTTGGCTCGTGCGATAGGTGCGGAAATTCCGTTAATTTGAATTTTGCTCAATATTTTAAAGACAAAACATGGAAATTTAATCGCGACCTTAATAAAGATAATACAGAAAGTGAGCGTTTAATTATGCAGGGTGAGACATTTACAGATGCTTAGAAGACTTGCTCACAGGTTTCAAAAACTGAAACTCGCTGACTGTTTGCACAAGTTTAAACAAATCAAGAGATGAACAGCAATAACTGAAGGATAAAATCTAACCACGACAATTTCAACTGAAAACGGTTCTTAAATGGTACCTTTTTAGGTTTGCAGAAGTAGTGAGATTGGCCTGTAGTTTTTGAAGCTCGTCGCTCACAGCTGTGTTTTTTGACTTCAGCTTTTCCTGAAACAGAAACAGACAAAGTCGGTTATAATTCCAGCTCAAAGTCTTTGAAGGATGACATAAAAGCAATTTTGATCACTTTTAAGAGTTATCAGGCAATATATTTTAGGCATCATAAACGGCAAGATATAGATTTTTCAACATACCATTTTATCAACAACAGCACTTGATTGCTTGAATCTGTAGCCACACATGAAGAAAAATGCAAAGTAGGCACATTCTGACATGACGTCGCCCTATAAATGCAATAGAAAGCATAATGAGGCTTCATTGTCAGCTCTAGGTCATTTAGTTGCTGTTTACCCCCATCACATGGTGCACCTAGCAAATAAAAGGCATAGTAACGCTAGAAAATTACCACTCAATAAAACGAATTATCTTTCAATGGTTGATAAAAAAGTGATAATCAAGCTTGTGCGCCAAGATTTGTTAAAGATGTTCTTTTTAAATTCTCAAGAAAAGAAAATAGACTTTGTGATACTAGCCTCTACTAGATCTTCCGCAACAAATGGATTTGAGCACTTGAACATTTTGGCAATCGTCCAGAGAACCAAATTCACGGTCCACCTTTACGAATATGGAATTAGTGAGTACAAAAATAACAAATCAATTAAAAGTGTTCAATGAGTCATAATTAAAATTATAAAAGGTATTAACTAGCTTTGTGGGCTTTTAAGGGTATTATTTCATTTAGGAAGTTATGTTTTTCCATTTTGGCCGGGGTTTAATTTGGGGGTGCTTTTCTATTCTATTCTTGATTATATCTTAAGTGCAGGTCTCATAAATGTTTCACAACACAGAATGATTATAATCCTTTTTCAACTAACAGCTTAGCATTGAATTATCAATTATGAAGACAGGTAGTCTTTAAACTTTGACCAGGACAATAGCTTAGATTTTGACCCTTTACATATTGCAATTCAAAGTTGTTTTTAATTTTTGTGGGAAACAAGCAAATTGCGCGATTGGAAAATTTCCGGGGTTGCAAATCAAACTCCTGAGAGAATGTTGTACTCGAATTCACATGCAAGTCAAACAGGAATGTCGACCTCTAAGAAAAGACTTAGATAATCTGTTTAGCTTATGAATTGAAAAAAACTCATCGAAGCATTTTCTGTAATATTTTTTCTTATTGCTTTTCCAAGAAAAGTCTATTATCTTATAGCGGTTCTTTTAGTAATACAGAAATCTTCGAAAGAAGAGCACCACCACCACCTCTCCCCCACCTTCAAACATAATCAAAGTTGCACCCCGAAGCAAAAAAAGTTGCTTTATGGCATCGTAAGACGTGGATAATTTCCTTCCAATATACCTGTCATTTAGAAGTACTTCGGTTGTAAAGGTCTCTGGCACAAATGAATTGACTAATGCAGATAAAACCCTGAAAAGGAATCAAACAAGCATGTATTCTATATGCTTAATCTTAATTAGATTATTAGTTATCAAAGTTATGGTGAGACGGTATTTGCGTATACACTTTAGCGATTAGAGATTTAAGAAAAACGATCAGTTGAAGAAAAGAAAATACATCAATAGAAATAAGGGAGAAAATTTTCGTAGATGGACGAAATGTAGTTCAATTCAAAAATGTTATGAAAGTTGAAATAAGTATCTGAATTATAGTGTTATATCAAGAGAAAAGAACGATTTTAACAGATAAAGAAAAGGTCACGAAAACGGCACAGTTTTCTTTAAAGAAGCATCTGGTATATATATATAAAAGTCGTTGGTGAAATTAAAGTACTTGGTAATAAAGAGCTAAAAACCTGCTATCTGATAGATCATCCAGGCTCTAAAATTGCAAAAAGCAACATATTTCAAACAACAAATTCCATCAATTACATCGGCTATCGCGATAATTCAATGGCAAAAAAATTTTATTTAAGAACCGTGTAGCCAAAATCAATTGGCAACTTAGAAAAAAACTTACATAGTTGTTTTCCGTGAAAAAATAAACATTCCAGAAAGTATTTCAATATTTAATAGAATGAAAATAAATTTTCCAGGAGAAGAAGATCGGATTAACAATTCGAAAGTTTTTAATGATGACATACTACTTGTTGCATTCTAGAAATTATTATTTACCATCTCCAAATCTAGTAATGTCAATTAGGTAGATACTTTTGCTCATGAGTTCTATGTATAGAAATATTTGCTATGAGTACATAAAAGAAATCCAGTGATCCTTAGACATTTTTTAGCAATTCTGAAATAAGTAAAGCCTCCTAACCTCGTATTTTTCATTTGAAAAATATCATATCTCCAAATAATATTCTACTTTGTCTTTTGCTTATTCTGGTATGGAGGATCTTTTGAAAGGGTGATTCTTTTAAAAAAAGTGAATCTTGCGAGTGCGTGAGTGAGCTTGAACGTGAGTGCAAAAGCTAAGTGAGCATGTGAGCGAATGAAAGCGTGAATGAGTAAGCGAGAGAGTAAGCGTAGGAGTGAGTGAGTAAGTAATAGAATCTATTTTGAACTTGTTCTCTGTAAGGCATTGGGATGTTTCTAGCGAAACTCTGAAAGCCCGAAATATTTTTCCAGCTATAAGCATTAGTTATTAATTTTTACTCACCAGCACACCTCTTTTGAGCTTTGAGCCATCTTTCGTCATCTACGAGAGATTGAGTCATCAAATATCAAACTTTTAGAATAATAATCGTGTTATAATTATAATTCTAAGTATTGTAATTCCTTCAATGTAAGCAAATTTGTCAACCATATGTGCTATCCATACGTGCTATCAATGTTGCATTGTGTCAATCAGTACTATTCTATTGTTTGAAAAACTTTGGCCGCATTAAATACAGCAAAGATGTTTCAGTCACTATCAGAGTCGACTACTTGATAAAACTCAAATGAATCACATTTACATCTATCATACCTAAGGAAAAATATTTATAATTTAAATATAACTGCAAAATATGATCGTGTTCCTAGATTTTCTTTAAATTGCTCTTTCCAGTTCATTTTACATTAGGATATCCCTTGATCAGATGATTATAAGAAGTAAAATGGAGAAAATTTATTTGAATAAGACAGGTAAAACGGCTGACATAGATTTTACACATGAAGTTCTATGGAAAATAACAATAAAACAAAACTACCTTCAAATGAACGTTGATCAAATCCAAAATACAATAGTCGGGATCAGGGTAGTCATTTGGCTTTATTTTTTTCCGATTAATCATCTCTGCATCTCTAAAATTTGAAACCCGCTACTTCAGATAGACAAATTTTCAAATAGGGTAGTGAAATGAGACAGCAAAATTATGAACTGAGACTTTTACATACTTTTAGAATACTACATACTCTTAAAATCATTAAACAAGACAATGGAATTCAAGCTGCACTCCGTCAATAACAATGACGACTTCATAGGACAAATTTCAACCCGGGTTGTCTTTCACCTCAAGCCGAGACGAAACTTGGGATTGAAATTCGTTCATATGAGCTGATTTTCAGTCCCAAATCTCCTTTCATTTATTTTATTCCTTCATACAACTCAGACCAGATTGAGCCAACTTCCAGATTCAAGGTCAAGTAGGTTAGATATACTACAGCTTTCGAAAATTCTACCAATTGAAACCGAACACCTTTTGGCTTTTATCACTCAAAGAGCCTCTGAAATTCTAGCAAAAATTAATAGCTAAAATAAAGCTACCTAATTATTCAGTTTGGTAAAAACTAAAATCTGCTTGAACACTGAAAAAACTTTGAAATGAGATCATTGAGGAATAAATATAATTTTTTATCTAAATTCATTTTCTTTTCCTTTTTGAGAGCCAAGGATCAGGTTTTTGTAGAGTTTTTAAGTATGCTTCCCATTTCCAGTGTTCACTTCTAATTTTTGTCGTCAATCTGTCACGAATACTTCGCAATAATCTGTGACGTCAGAGGAAACAAATGAAACATTACTGAACATGAACAGTGGAATTCTTGCAGCACTACTTTGAACATACAAATACTCTAACGATTCTTTGATTATTCATCACGGGTAAAAACTGGAATATTTCAATGAAAACAATGAAATTATGTTTTGAAACAAGAAAACGTGAGTTTGGGATGTAAATTAGGCAGCCTAAACGTGTAAATTAGGCTGTTTGGCATTTATGGCTAAACAATTTCCGACCAAAGGTGTGTAAGGAGGGCCTAATCTTATTTATTAAAACTCATATGACGCAAATTATGCCTGTTCATACCTTTCTTCTACTGCTTGTTTCAAGGACCACTGAAACGGTAAAAGAGAATTTAGGTATTTCAAAATCATTATTTATCCTACAGTTAAGACGTTAAAAAGCAAAAATACTTTGAAAGAAACTGCTACCATGAGGCATGAGTTTTGCAAAGAATGGCAACAATAGACCTTAAAAGATCTACATAGGCAGATTTGTGTTTTAGTTTCAAGGTTAAGCTGTTTCTGCATTTTCTCGTAAAGGGAAAAGTTGCTGTCCCCTGAGTTAGAACGCTATTTTTTCGCAGATGTGTGCAATGTTGAAACTATCTATCTAAACAACCGGCTAGATTAATAACAACATGATAAGCTAAGTCAAATTTTATACTAAGTTTACTTTGCAAATAGAAAAGGTACCTTCTTTTTACATGGTTTCTTTTCTTCCTCTGTGGTTGGTTTTAGCACAACAGACCTTGATCCAAACCCGGACAGCAAAGATTTGTCAACTTCATATGCTTGCGTATTCTGCTGTGTCACTGGAGGGGCCCACTAGAAAAAGATGGAAATCGAGAACATAAAATTTCTCAACAAATGCCGGGACGTTGCAGATATACGGCAAATGAAAAGAAGATGGGGTACCCGATCAGATCTTGGTCATCGAGGCTATTAAACTGTCTCTCATTTGCAACAACGAAAAAGTCCTTAACGAAAAGAAATAAGAATACAATATAATTTTTTAGTTCATCATAGGGAGGCATACTGGAGATTCCCTAGTTTCAAGCAACGTGTTTCCATCACAGGGGTGATAGCCGACAGGGGCATCATGATACAGATGGCTCAACAAATACAAAAAAGGTAATGTAGGGAGTCAGGTTTATATCAAGACCCGCTTCTCACAAGACTTTTCAATAAACATGTCTAAGAAAATCTATTAGTGGTGAGAGAAACATAGCCACGCATACAGAATGGCATGGTACCACACACCCTGAAAAAGCTTGTCAAAATGAAGGGGCTGCAAATATAAAAATGAAGACCGTCCAATAGAAACTTAAAAAACTTTTCTAACGGAGTGCCTAGAACAGCAAAAAAGGAATAAATCTTACCATAACACGCAGAAAATTAATGCTTAGGAAAAAAATCATACACGTAATATGTAAATTAGCCTGTTCTTGTTATAAAATCAACAAACAAATATTGCAAATTCTTGTTTTAGGGGTATTATCACTGTAATACTTTAGTTATACTTTTTAATAAACGACCCAAGCCATAAAAATTCTTCTCTCGAGTCGTACCAGTTACAGTATCATCAAAAAGTATATTTGAGCAGCTGCAGAAAACAGTGTTCTAGTCCCTAGTTCAGGAGTCTATGTTCTGGTATCTAGTAGCAATTATGGGGAAAAACTACTTTGAAAAAGGCAGTCGCTTCTCTATGCTTGACAGAACCTCAGTGAGCCATTAGCTCAAAAAAATTTTTTCTTTAATAACATCAAGATAAGGAGCTTATCTTTAAATACTAGGAAAATCCTAATCCCTAAAGTAAATGATTATTTCCTATTGTGCGATACCAGAAACACTTAAATATGATCGGTGAAAAACAAGAGTGAGTCTAAGAATAAACACAGGCTCCAAGCAATCTTGAAATGCTTTGGAAGTCAAGTTAAGATTTTATTATCAATATATGAAAAAGAGGCAAAACTGTATATGACGTCAGATGATATAGCTATTATGGCAATGTCACGGCATCTTGTGACAAATCCACAAACAATCTCAAAGAAAGAGCATCTAGAACTGGAAGAGGATACACTACAATTTTAGACATGGCAGAAGGGTTTGACGTTCATAGACTGACAGGAGACAAAGAAGCGACCAATCCAACACTACAAGATAAATGTCGCGCGGTAATATTAGACGCAAGCGGCATTGAGAACAGTGCAGATCTCCGTAAAAAGTTGAATTTACCAGGACCGCTGATCGACTTTCTAACAAAACAGTTTGGTTCTGATGATTTCTTTATCAACAAAGAAGATGTAACAGCCGAAGACATTTCAACAGAAACCTACAAAGCAACATGCATGCTCGACAAAAGGAATGTTCTTCTAAAATGCATCCCTAATCGAATACTCTCCGAGGAAAACCGAGAAAAAATCCAAGCCTGGAGAAAAAAGGATCTAAAAGGAATACAACGTTGCCTTGTATCATTTCAAGAAGGACAGAAAGAAATCTTTATTTTAGAGGGAGGGCTTCATGGTATAAAAGATATCATTGGAATAATGAAAGGAAAAGATATGCGACCGGACGAGATTTCTATATGGTATTTGATGAAAAGAGTCACAGAAATACTTCAAGGTCTCCAAGAGAAGAAACTGCAGTACCAAGAACTTGACATGAGCAAAATATGTATAACAAGCACTGGAGATGTTTGCATGTACAATCCAATCCGGTATATTAGTGAAAATCCAAACAACGACCCATTTGCAATATCTGAAAGCGGATCCTCAGCAATATACACCCCGCCAGAAGTGATTTCAGGTGAACAACCAACCATTAAATCAGATATATGGATTGTTGGATGTGTCCTCTATGAAGTTGCAATGCAAAAGCCAGCATACTCTGTTACCGGAACTGATATATTTGCATCCCTTAATGAAATTGTTGAGGGCAAAATGCCAGAAACACTGGACAGTGAATACTCTAAAGACCTTCAGAAGATTTTAACATCATGCTTACATGTGCAAATGCAAGGGCGCCCGGGCTTAGAAACTCTTCTTCAAAAGGCCGAAGAAAAACTTAAAGATGGAGCGTATGACTTTAGCAAGTGGCTTCAGAGTCAATAAACAATGTTAGTGAACAGTAAAAGAGCTTACGTAGAAGTGTAATAACATAGCGGACAAGTTTTCACAATAAATTCAAGCAAATAGGTTTTTTATTAATAATTACTTTCACATGTCACAAAAGAGATTATCTATATAACCGAAAAACATTCATTTAGAAGTGTTTATTATTTTTTTCATTATTCTTTGATGAAATAATCATAGCTACTTATAGTGCATCACGATTTTACGAATATATTGTAACGTATGAGCCGTTAAGAAAGACATCAAAGATAAAAATTAAAATCTTGTAAAGAAGAGACGTTGGAATAATAGCCTAATGTGATAGGCAATCAATTAAGATTGGTTTAGAAAAAAGAAACTTCTTATTCACAGAAACGATATGAAGAAAATAACACGATAACACAATTAACAGTAGTGAAAAGAGCTAAGCGTCGATCAAAAGGATGTTTTCCAACTGCCAACAAGTAGATGATCGAATGATAAAACACAGTTGCATAAATGAACTGTCGTTAGCCATGGAGTAAGTGAGTTACTTTACGGGGATATTCCTGAAAAAGACTTTAGCAAATAGAGATTAAGCATTAACCAGGCTGCAAAGATAAATGTAGAGATAATATACCATTCCCTGTGTTAAGAAATCTAATGATTTCAAGATAAATTTATCTCTGAATCATTAGGCCTGCAAAAAAAAGAAAATGTGCATGACACCTTACCTTATTTGCAAACCAAAAAAAAACTAACCAGAAGCATTCAAAAAAAGTTAATATGAAATCGTTAATTAGAAAAAAACATCTGACGTATGAGATAAATATTATCTCACCGTAAACTGCTTGGATAACAACGTGTTCTCATCTTTCTGTTGCAGGAAGTCAGATCTTTCCCATACAAACCAAATATCATTGCATACTAGAGACCACAACAGGTTGAACACCTATAAAAACAGAAGTTCAGCATAAACATAATATATACATATTCAATCTAAATCAATAAACCAGTTGATGAGCTTTATGTATGATACAAATCTTCTGAAACCTTTCAGAAAGGCAATAAATATAATTAAACAAGTAGCTAAACAGTCATCCAACATTTGAAATTAATAGCAACATATAATTTCTGTATGAAAACCCTATAGTTGCCAAAAGATGGTGAGTGTGCCTTGAGAGAACAGTTGCAGCAATATGTCACAACTTCTAACACCAAACTGAGATAATCTAAGGCATCCTGTCCATTAAAAATCCTAAATTTGGCCTCCTCATTTAAGGCCATCTTGAATTAGCCCCAACCCCTACACTTGTTTTGATACCAGAATAAATCAAATATTTGTCTGTTTCCATTATTTACAGAGTGCTTTTATTTTCAGCAAACTTAAAAATGATCTTAAAAATGAGCTATTAAGGCAACTTGTAAACAATTTTTCCAAGCATCCCTTACTTAAGCCCTTTTCAAAACCCCATCCAGAAACATCTCAAATTAATAAGCCCCAGGATTGGGGATTGGGGCTTATTCAAGGATTTACTGTATTTTTCACAAAGGTAAGAATATATTGCCAAAAAATTGGAAGAAATCCAAAAAAGCAAAGGTGTAATCACAGCAGCCTCTCCTTACCCTGAAGAACAGGATTTGTCAGCAAATTTTGAAAGCCTTTCATCACAAAACTTATTTTTATATACACTTTTTTGAGCAGACTATTGATTGTAATTAGCTTTTTGGTAAGAAATTAGTTCTTGAAGTTGGCTTTGAAAAAAGCAAACATATTGAGTGACACTAAAGCTTTTCTTCTGACACTCTTCAGAGTATAAAAAGTCAGAACATAGATCAAAACACTGAGCTAGGAAATATGTATATACCCAGTTGTGCATCAAAATATGCCAATTAGAGGAGCAAGCACATGACTGTTGAGCAGGACTTTCTGTAAGAAATAGCCCACGCGAGTGGCCCAGCGCTCACGTGACTCCTATTGCACAAGCGTTCACTCTAAAAATGATAATATTCAACAAATGCTAAAAGCGTCCATCATGTTTATAAAAATCGTATGATCCTTTTGTTAAAGGTAATATCAAATGAAAACAAACTGTTACGATGACCTTTAATGCATTCCAAAAAAGATTAAATACCCAATACAAATGTGCTTTGTTTATAAACTTTATGTACTTCACAAGGATCATATCTAGATGTTATTGCGGGATGATCGCACAATTGTTCTTCTTTTTTAAAAACGCTTTTACTGCCCAGAAAATTTTCAAAGTGCTATTGTAGTTCAAAGTGCCAATAGTATTCCTAAATATTCGCGGTGGAATTGATTTTCAAATGCATCTTCTTGTGGAGATGTGGTTATGTCAGCTTATTTATATTTCCTGTGTTTTGATAGATCAGTTTTTTATTGTCTAAGTCACTTGCTTGGGTCACAAACGATGACTAGCAATTTGTTAACTGATGAGACTTTTATTCCTAAAAATTTACCATTTTGTGCCAGTGATCAAACGCTAATGTGGTTGGGTTTGCGCAAAAGCTGATGCGAGCAATCATTTGCAAAACGAAAAGGCCTGGTTGAGGCTGCCCAATCAGTGTTGTTGCCAATTGAAAATGTTACCAATTGGTTTTTGGTACAAAATATTAAAAATAAATTTTAAAATCATTTCTTAACATTAATTTGGCTTTTTCTCTACATCCTTCCAATTCATTGTCAAAGCAAGTAGGGTTGTCAAATTTCATTGACACTTCATTTTAATTTGTATATAGTGACTTGCTTACCATAAGCAAGATATACAATAATATTCTTTAGAACAACTTAAGCGGGACTACATCAGACTTTAGAAATAACACCTTACTTGATCAGTGTCTTTCATTGCAAACATTCTTGCATCTATTTTGAAATTCTGTGGTATTATTTCACTATGAAAAAAACAACTCATATCATTATTTGACAAAAGATTTAGAGTGCTTATTAAATGAGTTCTCTCTTCAATATTGCTTGCATTATTAACAGTAAAAAGAGTAGCACCTCTTGGATATATATATTTCATTCTTTAAAGATGTCAATTTTTAAGCATTTACACAGGAGTGTGTTCAGAAATAGTAATGTTGGCTTGCATATAAAGAAAGTAGGGGCAAACAAAAGATTATCAAAATTTGATGAATGACAGATGTAGAGTTGGTTTTCTATTGTTTAAAGTCAATTTTTTAATCTGCCCAGTAATTCCCAAGTTTTATCAGCATCAGTTCCATCTCATGCAAGGCTATTTTTGATAAATTCAACTACAGGACTGAGGGTTAAAGTCCAAATTGGCAAGTAAGAATTATATGTACTGGTGTTTGAGTTCTTGCACCATCCATTCTACTCTTGTTTCTTTCTGCACCAAAGAAAGGCTATAGAAAAAATTTATTTTGTTACAAAAGAAACTAAATATCTTTATTCATTTCTCAAAAATGTCAAATAGCATAATTCAAATTCACAATAAAATTGTTAGTCCAAGTAAACATGTTTAATTTACTTGAAAAGGATAACATTAAAATGAAAAAGGAACAAATTGCTGTTAAGTTGATGCAGGATACGGCTGATACAGCCAGGATACAGAAACCATGAATGGAAGATGACAGTTGGGGGCAGTTGATACTAGAGATCTTTTTTGCTGACTAACAGGTCATCTGCAAGTACAAATAAATGCTGGTGAATGACTTTGGTTCCTACACTTCATAATTTTCTATTTTATCACAATTCACATGACATTACAGTAAATGCCAAAAATACAAAGAGAAAACATTTAAATGACATACCCATCAAAACTTCTTATCTTTTTGAAAGGCTTTCCAGTCAGGCCTATGTGTGAAAATTAGTGTCATTGAAAATATTACATTAATCCACGGACGCCGGAGAAGGGGGCACAGGGGGTCAACTGCCCCTGCTGCTTTTGATAAGAGGGGCAAAGGGGGCTAAAGTGCCCATTTTATAGAAGTGCTCTTTATGCTGGCTTTTTGTACAAAATCCATGAGATTCATATGAAATCCTGACTGAAGTGCCTAATTTATGACAACATTTCTTAAAACTTGAGAAGGAATTTCTTATGCCAAAATTTAGCCGATTTTTGAGATACTGGCAGAAGATCGAAACAAAATGACAGTTACGAAAGAATTGTTTGTACCTGGAAATTATTTTTTCAAATACCCTTTTACTCAAGCCTGCCCCCCTTGCCCCTTCCGGTGTCCCTGCATTTTCAATTATAAGCTAGATATCTTAATTCATGCGTCATTCTTGAAGCATCACGTAGCCTTGAATGAAAGAATAACAAATCTTGGTACTTCATTGTTTAGTAAATAGTAATAACTCCAAAGTGAGGGGCAAAAGCTAGATCTATTGGACATCAAACATCCTAAAGAAAACAAGAAGCGTTTATATCATTGCTTTGCGGATAAAGACGAAAACGAGAGTCCAGGCACAAGAAAATGCAATGGCTTACTTTCAAGCAGCATCTTCATATTATATCCCTTGAGCAAATCAACCAAAACATTTTCCATAAGATGTCCCGTTGAATGACTGAGTCTAAGATTCATCCATGCTGTAAAACCATTTATTCTAGTGCTTAAAGACATTGTCTTTAATAGAATAACAAGATGTAAACAACAAGGCCTTGGAGAGAGAGCTTCGAGAATCGCCAGTGATGAGTTTCCTTCAAATTATGCCTTCCAAATCCTTCAAACAGAATAACTTCATTAACTTTCCAAGAAATAAGTGAAAATTATTGTTTTCAGATTTTGGTGCTCATCAGGTTAAAAATTTCCATAAATTAAGATATATAATTGTCTTTCCATTTTATATTTCGTCCGTTTGATCTTTTCATCACTCTGGCCTAGCAACAACACCAACAAATTCTAAGGCGACTCTGCAAATTAAGGTGGATGTGGAAATTTTTTAATTTTAACCACCATGAAATACTTTCAAATATGCAAAATTAGCCAAATATGCTAAAATCGATTGAGATATGGCCAATGAAAGATTTGGAGTTAACGAATCGTTGCTATTTTGGCTCTGTTCATATGAAGTTATGAACAGAGACCAAAATACAGAGGTTTGATCAGTTACGCATTTATTACCCATGGGCCCACTAGGCCCGGGCCCAGGGGCCCCCGAAATATCTTGGATTTAGGGGGCCCCGAGCAAAATTTTGAAAATTATCCATCAGATGATCCTTAACAACTACTTAAAGGATTTGCTATTTGCAGCGGTAGAAAAGAACAGGCAGCTTTTCTGTTCTCCCTGCAGTGTAACCGCTGACGATGCTCAACTAAAATTTCAAATTAATTGAACTAATAGTCTTTCAGCCATAGAGGCAGTGTGTCCGTACGAGATTTAACTTGGTCAGGACGGTAGTTACTGTTGTACTTGGGTGAGCTCATGCTCCCCCAAAAATTATTAAGACCCTTTGTTTTATCGGTTAATATCGGTTCAATCAAAGATTTGATTCTGGCAGAAATTAGCCGTGATACTTTAGAATTACCCATTAAAAGGGGGGAGGCACAGCCCCCCTTCGAAAAGTAGAAAGGGGCCTAGTCCCCCTGAGCTCCCCTCTTCTAAAACCATGGTAATAACTATACTGTGTGCGTGTGCTTGTTTTTTGCTCCTGTCGAAAAAATCTGCGACCTCTACAAAGGCTAATGCTATCTCAGTGAATATGGTACCTTTTCTCTTTAATGATGAAATGAGGAAAGATTTGTGATGCTCTTGTCTAAGGGGCGCTTTATCAGAGGCAGCATCTTAAGGAAAGCCTACCTCTAAAGACGATTTTGACGATTGCTTCATTCTGGAGATTTTCTGCATACGGTCTTGCATTCCTCTATACCCTTACTTTATCATTACTGAGCTCATGATGATGTCAAACGAAAGTATATAACTTAATGTCTAATTTCTTTATAAGGAAGTTACTTTAGACTGCTGCTAGTACCACAAAATTGGGATGGAGGTTTCAGTAATTCACACTAATATTCGCAAATTTATCCAAGAACCACAAATACAATAATATTGAACCTTGAATGACGTTCATTGAAACGAAGGCAGATTTTCAAAAATTAATTAACCAAGGAGAGGGGTCCTTCAGTTGTGAACTCGGAGAGTGTTTTTATTTGATGTGAACTAGAAAAACCCTATTCGGCAACCTGGCACTAGACACCCCCTAAAAATATTTCTAGCGCCGCCCCTCCTTGTCAGGTCAGTAGGATTTGCAGCATAACAAAACGTTGATTGATGTAGATGTTATTTTGTTACATTCTTGTCAATAAATCTACTAAAAAGTACAAAAGGCCTATCAAAGGCTTGTTTGTTGGTCCATTTAGTGGCATACACTAGTATGCTGGTTTGTAATAACCTTGTTGCCCTGAACCACCTTGTTGGCCTGGAGATCCTGGGGCTCCTGGTCTGCCCGGTTCACCTGGTCTGCCTTGTGCTCCTGGCCTGCCTTGCTCTCCTGGTCTACCCGGTCTACCATCCGGACCTGGTCGTCCTGGCTTGCCTGGGTGACCTGGTCTTCCTTGCTTTCCTGGATGCCCCGGTTTTCCATCTCTCCCTGGGCGACCAGGGCCTCCCTGCCTTCCTGGACTGCCCGGTCTTCCTTGATGTCCTGGTTTTCCTGGGTGGAGCAGAAGGAGCGGAAAACAATGAGATTTTTCGAATAATCTAGACAAATTCTACACCTGGGGCACAAGAGACAAATGTTTAAGGGCAGAAAATGTTTAAGATGAATTTGGTCCAAATGATGTTTCTATTCTTCGGTAACAGGATGATTTCAAGTGTAGAGGTTTAGCATTCGTTGTTGTTTACTTTCTTTGTTTTTCAACAGCCTTGAAATCGTTTTACTTTCTTTGTTTTTCAACAGCCTTGAACTTTGAATATACAAACTTACCATCCGTTCCTGGCCTTCCAGGGGGTCCTGGTGGTCCTGGCGGTCCTGGTGGTCCCTGTGACCCACTGACACTTTGTGAACCGTATGATGGTTTGTGGAAAGAACTGCCTTGTTGGTACGCATCTAATGGATAATTTGCTAAATCATCGTCTTCTTCTTCTGAATGGTAAGCCTCTGACAGACCTTCAAGTAAAAGAAGCTTGCTTGCAGAAAGGATTTGTAGGTGTCATTTTATAATGTCACACCCCCCGGCTACACCAACTGCCGTTGAGTGGGGGTTAATAAGTGTGGCGTTAGGCAGAAATTAAATAGAATGCAGGACCTTCTAATACTGCAGAAACGTGCACTTTTCAAATTGTTTGGAGAACAAACATTATAGATTTGCTATTTTTCATGGGCAAATATAAAATACAACCACCTACCCTTACCAAATTCGTTTATGTCCGTTTATAGAAGAACTTGCTAGGCCATAGTGACTATGATTATACGAAATCAGCTTTGGTTTTTGTTACCTTGCATAGATTAAGGACCTCTATGAGAGACCAAAATTGCATACTGTGCTCTAATGCTATGCAAAAAATAAACTATTACTGATAATGCCATCTTACATACTTACACGTTACATGCAAGATTCTATTAAAAACGTAGGCTAAGTGAAATAATTATTGGATCCTTGAGCAAATTTTGTATAAGGTCACAAACCTTTGCAGCCAATGATGAGGATTGTGAGTACCACGACAGTCTTCATATTTCCAATGTAATCTTGTGACACTTCAAAGCAACCCAACAAGCAACTATGGCTCAGAGGGAATGGTGTTCTTTTATAGCATTAAAAGTCAATCATGTTTTAGATTAAATCAAAATTATTGTTGAATTACTTTGGGTGTAACTGTGTCTGGTCTGCGGCCAGCTGCCTTCATCAGTCCTTACGGCGTTAACTATCCTGGCTCTATTTGTTCTGATATGAAATTAAGAATAGGAAATGATCGAAATTTCGCATTAATTGCACAACATACCCTTTTTGCTGCCACAGTGCAAGGATGATATTGTTTATTGCCATAATTAATCATCAGGTAAAAACAAATGCAGTAAAATTTGCACATTACTCGTGAAGATAATGAAATTATGCCAAAATCATTTCATTTTATTTTATTTTGGCCTAAATTCCTGTTCGCAAAATTATCTTTAAATTTCTTTGTTGTAGCAAGACAAAATTGTTTATCATCTGAAGAAGTCAGCTTTAATTGATTGATTTAAAGTTTATTAAAAATTTGACTAATTGAAATTTTGTTCAAAAATAAATAATTGTGAAGATGTTTTCCAATAATCATTTAAGCCATGATCAATCAAATATTCAACATAATATATTAGACGAAAGAAACAATGTTTTTGTTACCAACATGGATTGGCAGAATGCTTCGTTTTTGCAGTGAGCTTGAAAAAGTGAATGAACATGATCTATTTGTATGGCAGTTTCCTGGCAAGCCCTCCTCTGGCCCATCACGCTACTCCTTATCTAAAACCACCCCACAATTAGTAAATATCAAGGGGACTACAATACAAACTGAATGACAAAAGGTGGTGGCTGCCTCGGAATTACAGAGTGCATTCATCCTATTGGCATTCAGCACTTGCTTGTAAAATTATAAACAAGTTACTCTCAATCCAGAATTATGTATACGATGAGGATTCTAAACTCAATATTACAGTGTAAAGAGAGAGACATCCTACGGACACCTCTGATTAGCGGACAAATTTTTTTCCCCGATCGTTTTCTGGTCAAAGACTCATAAAAAACTTTCTAAAAAGAGCGGACACTCTAATTAACGGAAAATATTTTTTGCACAAAATAGTCAATTTGGCTTTTTTTCTCTTTCCAATTAGTGGACAGTACAAAAAATTTAGGAGCCAGCGAATAAAAAAATGAGACGAATGAGACAAATATTTATTTCAAACACTTTGAAACTTGACAATCTAGTTGGTTTTTTACAGCTTCGAGCTTCTTTACAACCCAGTTTACTAACTTTTTTGTCCATGAAAGTGTTGTGGTACGCTCAATTTGGTTTTTCTTTCTTTTTCTAAGTGTCTAAGTTCAACCCGATAGCCTCTAATTACCTAGACTACACCCAGAGGTGGCGTCATAAATCTTCGGACAGAGGGGTTGGAGCTTCCGACAGGGGGGCTAAAATGACTAAAATATGCAGTTTTCGTACGTTATTATGTCAAATTTGCTCCAACAATAACCTAAAATTTCCTCCGATGGGGGGGGGGCTAGGTGCTTCCGACGGAGGTGCTGTAGCGCCCTAGCCCTCCCTGTGCGCCACCACTGATTACACCTTTTAAATATAAAACTAGAGTCTATTTTCAACTTTGGGACTTATAGTGCACAACTTTGCAAAAGGCGGACACTTCCAATTAGCGGACACCCTGCTCTGGCTTCGACGGTGTCCGCTAATTGGAGAGAATACTGTATTATAACAATTTGTAAAGATGATAGTTAAAAGACGCCTCTGGTTTAATGCTTTGTCCACAAAATCTTTCTATTCTATAAACACTCGCTTTTTGGCGATATTCAGAATGTGGTCGTCACTTGTCTCGCTTGCGATGTTACAACAATGACAAAAAATACAAAGCAACAAACACAAAAGCAGGTGACCGCGCAGTTTACCAAACGACACGTTGACTGAAGAAGCTATAATTTAGTAGGCCCTATGTTTATAAGCGTCTGTTTATATAAAGTATCAAAATTCATTTGGAACACTGGAAAATAAATTGCAAGGATTGCATGTAAGTTAGACACATTGTTGGAGCGTGAGCAATACTAGGCATTTTAAATTTTTCTCATTTTCTGGTATATTGTCTACTTAATTGTTAATATTACATTGTCCTTGAAGGCAGTGTTTAGATAAACCAATGAACGGCGCGAAGTACTGCCTTGGTTGCGGTAGCGGCAGAATTCATAACCACCCCAAACAAGTTATTCTTGTATACAGTTATCCTTCTGTTGAAACAGCCTTTTACTACCTGCTTTTTGACAATACCAACACTGCTAGACTATGGAAGGTTGGGAAAAGGAAATCTTTGAAAATACAGCAGTTGCTAAATGCAACTAGATACCTTCTACCGTGAACTAACTTAAAGCTTCTCTTCCTGTACCAGAATAATGAGCTGCTGTTGGGACTGTCAAAGCGATAAAAGCGACATCGAGAAATACTGTAAAAGGAAAAAGACAAGAAGCAGTCTAAGATCCGTTAGGGATCAGCTCTGGACTAGCAGCGAGAAAGAGCGGTTTTGGAAGGTTCTTGAAAATTATATAAAGTATCTAATCATTAAAAACAGACCCCTTTTACAGCCTGATTTATTTGCCAACAAGAGAAAGGTTGGGCAAGGTGATTTCTCGCAAGAGATGATTTGGATACGGGAATGTTTATGGACTGGCCAGTACAGCTCAGCTGTTGCCATGTTCATAACATTGAACCATCCAAAGGAAGTCAGCCTCATTGATAACGTCGGCCATGAGCGGGAATTGGAGGAAATCAAAAGGATTTTCATGAACTAAATCTAAATAGAGATCATGTGGGATCAAAAACAGAATTCTTTCTCGAATTGGAATCCCCTTTGCACCAGCTCCAAAGGTTATTGGCAAGGTATTGTTTCTCGTTGCTACGACATAAGAAAATCTCTAAAAGCTGAAAGGGACACGATGACCTCACCCTGGTTAAATTCAACCACGCCCATAGACTGGAAATATTGAAAAACTTGCTTCTATTTTGTGGCTGTGAAGCATTTGAGTTAATCTGAGGAGTGTAGGATTTCCAGGAAACGTAGATTTGAAGAAATACAGCTGCAGAAAGTCGAATTATCAGAGAGTTTCGTGAATTATTTTTCAGAATTTACCTCTCCTAACTTCAGTAACTCTTCTTTCCAGAGTTTGTAGTTGTAGTTAATGCTGTAATCTGGTTATGAAATATAGTAATGAAAATGTATTATGTTTAATGTAGTTGCGTGGTGAAATTTGAGATTAATCAGACATTCTGCGTCGTCCTTCCAATACCTATTTACGTTAGAGAATAATGTTACATAATGGTAATGCCGAGAATTCAGAAAGGAAAGGACAGAACCTTATAATATTAAGGTTCCGTCAGTATAAATGAGTTTTTTGAATACGATTCCACAAGGGAATGATTTTTTTGAAAATATCTGAAAAGTCCACACATGGTAATACTTTAGATGATTTCTTGCCACTAAGCTTTCATAAGCTGTTTCAACAAGATAAGATTATTTTTTGAAATAATTAATAAAGCAATAAAATGCTGACCGCAACTTTGACCATTATGATAATAATAATAGTAAGAATCTGAAACTCGTTTCATTTACCCTGCAACTGGGTACCACACAGTGGTACCGTGGAGGGGACCTCAGGAGGGCTCAGCCCCCTCGTTAAAATTCAGAGAGATTTTGGGCGGGCCTAACAGGCGAGGTTGGACTAGGCGAATTCTGTGTTGGCAACCCTTTATTATAGTAAAGATTCCTCGTGCTACCTGCTACTTGCTACCACCATTGGGTACCTTAATTTTGAATACATTTCACCCAAGGGTTTCAGAAATTTTTGCAATGTTTTAATGATGATTTTAAAACTTTAGCCTTATTTGTAGCAAAGCTAATTATTTCTGTCTTGGCTTTTAAATAAAAATTTAAATAGTAGATGTTTGCTCGTTTTTCCACTCGATAGAAGATCACAACAGAGTCATCTTTTGATTGGGGCCCACCGGGAAATCTCCTGGTTCCCGGCAAGCCAGTCTGCCACTGCGCTGACTGTGTCCCCAATCAGCTTGTAAGCTAAATATTTTTTGACACATTAATAAAGTTTTTGATTGATTGATTGATTGATTGATTGATTGATTGATTGATTGATTGATTGGTTGATTGATTGATTGATTGATTTATTGATTGATTGATTGATTGGGCAGAGCTGACCATATGGACAGGGATATCCGTCTTTCCCTATCATGAAATAAATTTTTTACAGATTTTTATTTTCATGACAGGTTTAAACAAAAATCAACTTGAACAGAGAAATTCAATAAAGAATACACGTTGGTAATAGTCTATAGATCTAAATCAAGATAGATGAGTTACAATAAGTACAAGTTTTAAAAATTCTTAACTGCAATACTATAATAATAAAACAATAAGAGAAACAAGAGTAAAAAACTTGCTCAGTGCCTTTGGAACTCTCATGAATAAGAGTTTGGTTTTTATATGTGTAAAAATGTGTCTTTTACTACTTACATAAACACCTCTTAACCTAGAAATAGCAAAAATCTATGATTAAATAATTGACTTGCTCTAAACGAAGGTATATGCAAGCTTAAAATAGGCATTAAATGCAGTTTTTTAATCTATTGTGACTAATGATTATCATTACACTTGTGACATTATAACCCTACGATAATGATCAACAAAATACTGATGTTCTTGAAATTAAAAAAATGTCAAACCAGCAAACCAAACAACAAACTCAAACTTCATTCGAGTCGGACCAAGGGACAAAGCACTCTTTATAAAAACCGTACTTTACAAAACTTTTTCTATTGCAATTACAATTGCTATTGTTAGTATTACTATTTACCAAAGACCCCAATATTTTTCTTATTTTTTCTTATATCAGCAGACTGCTTTGGCAATAAAGGCAATTATTACTATACCTCCGAGGACTCCGAGACCAATTGCAAGGCCGATCGCAATGCTCTTCCAATCCTTCTCTTTAACTTTGACTTTCCAATCTAGAAATTAAGAAGCAAAAACACTATCACTATTAATATGCAATGCTTTCACTTTCCAATGATAATTTTCCTTATTTTTTCTTCTTTATGTTCAAATTCCCTCATTTCCTTTCAAGTATACTTATAGAGAAGTGCCTAAGCAAGGTAAAATCGTTTGCAAAATGCTTGCCTAGTTACAGCATGCTACAGACCTGACCAAAAAAATCGCACTACAAACTAAATTGCACAGCAGAACACTGAAACAGTAACAAAATATTGATTGCTTTAGAGCACATTGCTAAACTCTGTAATGACGACATGTTTCAGATAATTGGCAGAGCCGGGTCGTCTTTCCATCTAGCAGTTTCGGAATCGATCTAAAAGCCGCCATTGTGTAGACAGAAGGAGTTCATTTTCTCGCTTGGACTCCAGTGGTAATTCTTCTTTAGGCACGCAGCACTGATTGGTCAACTTATGCCGGTTTTGTGCTTGCGTTTTTCTGATTGGTCTATTTCGATCCACAACTGGGTATATAGTTTTCATCATGTTCTTTCAGACCCTTATTCTGACGTTTTATGCTCTGAGGAGTGTCAGGCGAAAAAGCTTTTAGCCAATATGTTGTAAAATGTAAATTTTTTTCAAAGCCATTTTCGAAATTAAGATCATATTTATGGGGGCTTTTTACAATATTTCAAAGGCTGAATAACAAAATCTTGCACTGAAGTTATTC